TCTTATGTTCTTCAATGCGTGCATTTATTCTTCTGTTAGTTTGTCCAATGTATGTGGTAGGGCAGGCAGTGCAGGGGATTTCGTATACTCCTTGGTTTTCTAATTCGATTTTGTCTTTGGGGTTTCTTAGGATGGTGGATATTTTTCTGTTTGTGCAGAATGCTGTTTTGATGTTGTGTTTTTGGAGGATCTTGCTAATTTTGTCTGTAGTGCCTTTTATATATGGGAGGAGGGCTTTGCCGTTTTCTTGTTCTCTGTCTTGGATTTTGGTTGGGGTTTCTTTTTGGATTAGGTGGGTAATCTTCTTTCTTTGGAATCCATTGGCTGTAAGTACGTTGGTGAGAGTGTGTAGTTCGGTTTTTTGGTGTTGTTCATCGGCTAAGCATTTTGTTCTGGAGATGAGTGTCTTGGCTACGGAATTGATCTGTGCTGGGTGGTGGTGTGAGAGTGCATGTAGATAGCGGTTAGTGTGTGTTTTCTTCTGGTAGATGGTGTGTCCTAGGGAGCCATTGGATCTTTTGTATACCAAGACATCTAGGAAGGGAAGTTGGTTGTTGGCTTCTGTTTCCATGGTGAATTGTATTTTGGGGTGTAGGCTGTTGAGGTGTGTGAGGAAGTTGTTCAGTTTTTCTTTCCCATGTGGCCAGATTATGAAGGTGTCATCTACGTATCTGAGCCAGAGTTTGGGTTTGTGGTCGTATTTTTCTAGAGCTTGTGTTTCAAAGTGTTCCATGTAGAGGTTAGCGATGACAGGTGAGAGGGGTGATCCCATGGGTGCTCCTTCTATTTGTTTGTATTTTTGTCCATTGTAGGTGAAGTATGTATTGGATAGGCAATGGTTGGTTAGATCTAGGATGTGCTTGGGGGGGTTGTATTTGTTTTGGATGGCTGTCAAGGCTTCTTTTATTGGCACTTGGGTGAAGAGGGATATGACATCGAAGCTTACTAGTAGGTCACTGGGTTGTAAGTTTTGTTTCTTTATGATCTCGATGAACTGGAATGAGTTTCTTACGTGTGAGTTGATGGATTCTGCATAAGGTTGTAGTTGTTTGGCGAGAAATTTGGCTAGGTTTTGTAGAGGTGAGCCTATGGAGCTGACTATTGGTCTGAGTGGGGTTCCTTCTTTGTGTATTTTGGGGAGACCATAAAGCTTGGGGCATCTGGATGATTTTTCTCTGGGTATGATTCGTTGCTGGATTTCTTCACTGATGGGGTAGGCTTTTATTTTGGATTTGGTAGTTTTTTCTAGGTAGGTAGTGGGGTCTGTCTTTAGGGGTTTGTATGTGGGGTCTTGGAGTAGGTTGGTTAGCTTGGTTTGGTAGTCAGATGTGTTCATAACCACTGTCGCATTGCCCTTGTCTGCTGGTAGGATTATTATGCTGGTGTCTTCTTTCAGGTTAAGTAGTGCAGTTTGTTCTTCTTTGGATAAGTTGCTTTTGGGTGGTTTGCTAGTGCAGAGGATGTTGGTGATTTTGAGTCTGATTTTGTTAGCATCATCAGGGTTGGTTTTGGTCAGGCTGGTTTCAACTCCACATATGATGGTTTCTGTGGGGATGTGTTTGGGAGCGACAGCAAAGTTGAATCCTTTTGAAAGGACCTTGGTTTCAGCTTCAGTGAGGATCTTGTCTGAGATGTTGTAGATATATATCATAAATTTTCATGGGTACAGGTATGCAGGTCTTGGCATGTTTGGGTCTTTTCCCATGTAAGATTGAGAGTATCTTGGCAACGTTTCGACACAGGAGGCTGATAGACACACAGCCAATACCTCAGCCACACATGTTCTTATGAAAAAGCCAGCCAAACTGCAAACATCAACTCCATCAACCAATCAAGAAATGACAACACAGCCAACCTCCCCACCAATATATATAGGGAGACAGCAGCTCCGATCACACTTTGCTCGCACAAGGACGAAGCTGAAAGCACCAGCCTGAAGATGGCGAGTGGGACCTTGTCAAAACATTACCAAGACCTGCATATATATATATATATATACATATATCAGCCTCACTCAATATCAATCAAAACTTGCCATACAGAAAGAAAAGAAATGATTCAATCCAATTTGAAACAGGAAAAAAATGGCAAAGCTATTTCCTTTTTAAATAATTCGGCAAGCATATTTCTTTGCCAGAAAAGAAAAACCCCTATGTTTTATCTTTTAGAAACTAAGCAAAGCAAGCACCATAATTACTTGGAGAATAGCCCACCTGCTATAAACACAATTTAGACACATTTTATACACATGCCTGCAAGATAAAAGAGATAAATGTTGCTGATGCCACAGAATCCACATTAAAGATAGCACCTTTTAAAAGCCATAAATAACATTTGGTTGTGGCACTAAGTACTCATTGAAGCATTTTTAAACAAGGTAGCCCAAGAACTGGGTTTGAAATACTAGGAATTAGTTACTTTATGTGCAATAATTTCCCTCATGCCTCGAAATAACCAATGAATAATTGGCTGGATTATGTGTACATTTCATGCTTTGGAGCACAAAGTTAAAGGTTAGATCATTTTGCAAAGGAACCAAAATATACACATGCATACATGATGATCTTGGGTACAAAGAACATGTCTTGTCATGGCTATGTGCACTCACAGATACAATTCATGCTCCGCAAGAACCCAAATTGGAAACAATTTCTTTGCGTGCATAAGATCCTAATTCTAACTTTGCTATCTTTCTTGCAGGAAGAAAGGATGCTGAGGCTGATAATGTTTCTTAACTTGCAGGGTCCGTGGTGCTCTCTGAGCTTGGTTGTGTCCTTGCAAACATTTCATGACCCAACTAGGTAGCATCATCAGTGCACTGGATTGTGCTGTACACTGATGATATTTCCTGGTTGTATCATGAAACATCTGCAAGAAAACAACCAAGTTCAGAGTCTGTAGAGATTCTCAGTCATTCAGGTCGTGGTTGTCCCAAATCCTTCCATTCGCCACTATCCCATCAGAGCCAAAGAAGCTTCTTGGGTGAGAAGCAAAATGTCTTCAAAATAAAAAAAAAAAAAAACAAGAAAGTCCAGTTGCCTGGACCAAAAACCAAGCTCAGAGAGCATCAAGGACTCCCACCAATCAGCTCTGAGCTATTATCTTGTATTGGCTGCTTAGTTTTATTAGGGAACTGCTGTTAAGCAGACACAGAAGACAGTAACAAGCTTAGTTAAATAAGGTTATGGTGGCAGAATAATTATCTTCACAGTTTCCCAGAAATTTATTTTGTAGATGTGTTGCTGGTCATATTTATAAGAAATCAAGTACTAAAACTATGCTTTTGAGCAGACATAAACCACTGTTGCACTGCTATAGGATCAGCTATCCTACTGGGAATTAGGTCAAAGGTTTAACAAAAAAAAGATGAAAAATGAATTTTCACAGATGCATTTTACTGAACAAGCAAATAACGGCAAAATCAACAGTTCCGTTGATTAAAAAAAAGGGTAAATCTGGTGAAGGTCTCCGATTGCAATTAGAAAGATGTTTTTAGGATCACAGAAGGCTTTTCAAAGAGTAATTCTGGACCTGCAAATTGGTCTCAGTGAAAGATACATAGAGGAACCATTGTCCATGCTGCTGTCTGACAGTTTTGCCAGGACTTTCTTCCTCCTTATTTTATTCCTAATAATAGAATAACAGCACTGGAAAGGACCTTGGAGGTCTTCTAGTCTAACTCCCTACTAAAGCAGGAGACCCTATAGCAGGGGTGTCAAACTCGATTTCATTGAGGGCCACATCAGGGTTGCATTTGACCTCGGAGGGGCGATGGGCAGTGATGGGAATTACTATCGGTTCTGTGGGTGTGGCTTGGTGGGCATGGCGTGATGCGGTGGGCATGGCTTGGTGGGCATAGCAGGAGAAGGATACTGTAAATCTCCTTCCCACCCTGCTCCTGGGAGAAGGTTCCTGCAAAATATCCATTCCCTCCTCATGCCAGTACCTGCTTTCCAGCTCCATTCTCCTTTTCAGGGCAGCCAAAGAAGACCCACCCAATCAGCTGGGACTTGGGAGGCAGAGAAGAGATGGGGGTGGGGCCAGTCAGAGGTGGTATTTTCTGGTTCTCCGAACTACTCAAAATTTTTGCTACTGGTTCTCCAAAACTGGTCAGAACCTGCTGAATACCACCTCTGGTGAGGGGGCATTGCCAGCTCAAACTCACTCATGTCGGGGGCACCTGTGGCAGCCTGAGGTCTCTGCCAGCGAAAAGGGGTTCCCAAGCTCCGTTTTCAGCTGCAACAGCCTCCTGCAACCTGCTGCCAGTGAAAATGAAACTCGGGAGGACCCCCCCGAGCTCTGTTTTCTCTGGCAGATGCACTGCAGGCCGGTCCTTCACTGTTTCCAGGGCCAGATCTAAGCACCCTGTAGGCCAGTTGCGGCCTGCTTGGCCTTGAGTTTGACACCCATGCTCTATATCTTTCTGGATAAGTGGCTGTCCAATCTCTTTTTAAAAACTTCCAGTGATGTAGCAGCCACAACTTCTGGAGGCAACCCGTCCCACTGATTTATTGTTCTCACTGCCAAATTTTTACAGAGAGGCCAGTGCTCAACCATGGTGATCAAAAGAGATTCCCAAGGAGTATGCGAAGACACGTGCAAATTGTCCTCTTCCCTCTGTCCTGTCGCCCTCAAAAGATTGAGATTGCTATATCCAAATCTCTACTGAACACTTGCAGGACAAAGCCTTAATGGCCAATATCACAGCATCTCCAGATGTTTCCCCTATGAATGGTGACTAAGCTAGCAAACAGAAATCCAAATGTCTCTCCAGGGCCCCTAGCCTCTACTTACCCACCATTTTCCTTTCCTTTCTGTTTCGCATGAACTGTTTTTTTTAGAAGACCATCTACAAAAGGGGGAAAATTCATCCTCAATCTTGATATAAAAAATATTAAAAAAAAAAGAAAATCTTCCCAGAAAAATCACTTCTCACTGCATTAAAATAACACCGATTAATCATTTCTTCATGGTAAAAACCCGACTGTCCGGCAGCATTTAATTTCCAGAGTCTCCATGCTCCTTGTCAAAGAACAGGAAGCAAAAGAAACAGGCTCTCCCTCCCAACTTCCTTGCTTCATCCAAGTTTTTCCGAAGAAGAAGGTCCATGAGAGGTCCCCAAGCAGCAACGGAGGGTACACTTTTAAGGACCTTTGATATTGCTGGGCCGAGCAGCTAGACTTGCATAATAAGCACACTGGGAGGGGTCACATTGTCCATTGGCCCCTGGAGGTCCTGGGGGCCCCATAGGGCCAGGAGGGCCAGCTTCACCTTGAGCACCTTGAACTCCAGGGACTCCATCTTTACCATAGCCAGGTTCACCTGGAACACCTGCGGAACAAAGTGGTAGGAATAAGCTCGATGGCTGTGGTGTGGACTAAGCTTAGTAGACAAAACTACAGATATAGGTGGCCTTGGACTTACGGCCACATTTGAGTTAGAGATTGATCTTGTTAAGTGAGACATTTGTTTAAGTGAATTTTGCTCCCATTTTACGACCTTCCTTGGCACAGTTGTTAAGGGGATCAATAAAATTGTTAAGTGAACCTGGCTTTCCTCATTGATTTTGCTCATCACAAGGTTGCAAAAGGGGATCCCGTGAACTTCAGATATAGCAACGGTCCTAGGTGTGAACCAGTTTGCAATCATCTGAATTTTGATCACATGATCATGGGGATGCAACAACAGTCATAAGTGTGAAAACGGTCCTAAATCACTTTTTTTCAGTGCCGCTGTAACTTTGAACAATCCCTAAATGAATGGTCGTAAGTCCAGGACTTCCTGTAGAACTTAGACTTACAACTGAGACTTAGACTTCTTAGAACTTAGACTTAGAATAACTTTATTGTCCCTTTGAATGTACACTAATCAGCATACATTAAAATGAAATTTCATTGCATGCATCTCTCAAAGAGTCACCACCTCCAATATACACTACATAATGTATATTGACTTCAAGCATACATGACTTCAGTCAAGGACCTGTATACTGCATGAGTCAAAAAGTGAAAATATTCACAGGCCCCTCACATCCTGGACATAAACTGTTTCAACTCCTTTCCTCAAAATAACACTATAGAGCACCCACCAGAACAACAGTTTTTTCCTGAACGCCATCACTCTGCTAAACAAATAATTCCCTCAACACTGTTCAACTATTTACAAAGTCTGCACTACTATTACTGTTAATCTCATCACTCCTTATCGTCCATCCCCTCCTGCTTGTGACTGTATGACTATAACTTTGTTGCTTGAATCCTTATGATTGATAGACTGTTTCCTAGTATGATTTGATTGGTTATTGTATCCTATGACTATCCTTAAATGTCATACCTTATGATTCTTGACTTTTGATGAATGTATCTTTTCCTTTATGTACATTGAGAACATTTGCACAAGACAAATTCCTTGTGTGTCCAAACACACTTGGCCAATAAAGAATTCTATTCTATTCTATAAACATGACAAAATAAATAAATACACAATAAATAAATAAATACTTATGTATATACCCACATCTATTATATGACAACGGAGAAACAACACACTTACATCTGTTCATTTAGTGAACATTCAAAGCTACAACAGCACTGAAAAAAGTGACCTACAACCGGTCCTCACTCTTACATTCAATGAACCACCCCCACCATCATGTAATCAAAATTTGGGTGCTTGGCAGCTGACATGTATTTAACAACAGTTCCAGTGTCCCAAGGTCATGTGAATGCTCTTCGTCACCTTCCCAGCCATCTTCCAGCAAGTAAGTCAATGGAGGAAGCGGAATTCACTTAATGACTACACAATTTATTTATCAACTGCAACGATTTTTTTGCTTCACAACTGTGGCAAAAAACGGTTGTAAAATTGGGTGCAACTCACATAACAACTACCTTGCTTAACAACAGAAATTATGGTCTTAATTTTGGTCATAAGTTGAGGACTACCTATATAGTGTAGAAAGTTAGCACCCACCCATCTCCTAGAAGAATGAAATATTCTGAGAAATATTTTTTAAAAAGGTAGAACATTATATTTCCCTAAATGAGAAATGGAAAAACGTGTTTTTTTAGAGGCAGAAAGCAGACTCACTCTTAGTTGCTCCCCACTCCCAGCAGATATTTTGTGCCCATTAAGAAAAACTGGGCCAGCCTATGTACAAAACAAAAGTCTTTTAGAGCTTAAAAAGAACAGGACATGATCCTTCAGGACACTACTACCATTTAGCAGAAGCCACAGAGCTCATTACATTGCACAATCTCCTAAGGATATTTCAGTCATTGCATCATCTCAGAACTTCAACCAAACCTGGAAGCTCAGACAAACACCTGGTATTTGTACTTTGCCTATAGAGCCAGCTATGACTCCCTACATAACCTATACATGTCCCAATGGGAGTCTGACAACAGCTAATAGAATACATGTTCTTGCCCAGGAACAGGAAGTTCAAGTGCAAAGCTCAAGGAAAAATATAAAAACTCTTCACTCTCAACTCTGTGTGGTTAGCTGCCCAGAGCCACACATGATTCTGCTTTGTCATTAAACCTTCTTTCCATTCAGCCTCCATGTTTCCAGTATCTTTCTCCTGGCTTGGAACTGAACCAGATGGATCTTTCTTCCCACAATGGCAAAATTGACAATTCAGGATACATCAGCTTCATGCATTGGCCTGTCAATCTGCCTACAAAGCACTGCTTTAGGGGAGAAAGTGCATTCAAAGGACCAACCCAACGGTGCCTCCGCCAGCAGGGAATTTTCTCCATCAAGAGACAAGGGAATAAATATTCTTGACAGATTTTCACCCCATTTCTCAGGAACCTTTTTTTTAAAAAAAAAAAACATTGACAGCTTCCCTTTGTTTTAGCCACCTGTTTAACTTCAAACAATGGTGCCTTTTTTTAGCAGCACCACCTGCTAAAAATGTTTGAAGCAAAAGGTAGAGAGAACTGTTTTCATCCTCCTAAAACCACTGTTTCTACTTCTTTAGGGAAAATGTGGGTTTCTCAAAATAGTTCTCTTATGGAAATAGGGAAAAGTCAAAAAGAAACCTTTGGGGAGGCATTAGAGCAGAGAAGTTGACCTCATGCCAACTGATGAAAAACCAAAGTGTACGAGTAAGCTCACAAATATTTATAGGAAAAGGGTATCAGTATAGTTCATGAATTGGAAAGACATAGTAACAGGTCAGCCAATAGGGGCTGTTTGGAAACTGAAGCATAATATTTGTTTTATATGGGGCCATTAGAGACAGTTTGGAGCCTGGACGTGGCTTTGGCTTTGCTGAACTGTATATGAGAGTTGGTTTGTCCTCTGTAACCTAGGCCTCTGTATCACTCTACTCTGTAATGACTTCCTTCTGTCAATATTGCTTCTGTGTTCTTGGTTTTATTTGCTGACTTCTGCTGTGTGGTATTGTATATAAAGAAGTTTTTCTTAGGTGGATGAATCCTCCAGAATTATTTACTTGTGTGCTGGTCGGATGTGCTGCAAACTCTGACAAAGGGCTTAGAGGAGAGAGAGAGACAGAAATCTGTGAAAAACAGGATCCCTGATTACCAGGTGGATGGCAGCAAGGAATTTTCGAAGCTTATTGCGAAATACAGATAGTCCTTGACTTATGATCACAATTGAGCCCAACATTTCTGTCGCTAAGCAAGAGAGCTGAATTATTTTTGCTCCATTTTCTTGTCACAGTTCTTCAGTGAATCACTGCCATTGTTAAGTTAGTAACACGGATTGAAGAGAATCTGCCTTCTCCATTGCTTTTGCTTGTCGGAAAGTCAAAAAAGTGATCACGTGACCCCAGGACAGTTGTTATGGGTCTGAATTTTGATCAGGTGACCATGGAAATGCTGCAACGGTCATAAGCAGGGGTGGGATTCGGCCGGTTCGGGCAAACCAGATATTAAATTTACATTGGGTTCAATGAACCAGTAGTTGAACTGACCGGCTGGCCCTGCCTATCTCACCCCTCCCCTTCCAGAAGTCTCCACATGGCCCGTTTTGGATGCAGGTAAGTGAAGGGCCTGTGTGGAGGCTCTGGGCGGGTGAAAAACAACCCTCCCCAAAGTCTGAAAGTCTGGAAACAGGCCTGTTTTCACCCTCCAGAGGGCCTTTGGAGCTCGGGGGAGGCCGTTTTCACCCTCTCAGTGGCCCGAGGGAAGTCTCCAAACTCCGGGGAAGGTGAAAAATGGCCGTCCTGGAAGTTCTGGTAGGCCACACCCACCATGGCCACGCCTACCCAGCAACTGGGCAGAGAACCAGTTGCTGGGATTTTTGAATCCCACCCCTGATCAGTAAGTCTGAAAAACAGTCATAAGTCACTTTTTTTCCAGTGCCATTGTAACTTTGAACAGTCACTAAATTAATAGTTTTAACTTAAGGATTACCTGTATTCCAAATGTCATTGCCTAGAAATTGTGGAACTTCTGGGCTTGTAAGCAAGCCACCAAGTTCAGAGAACACCAAGGACTCCAATGGTCAACCTGTACTACAGCTAATAATCTCTTCTGTTGGTAGGTCTGGCTTGGTAAAGTTTGGGGAAAGTTACCTGAAGCCATATAAATCCCTGTTTGCAAATAATAAGTAACCCACCTGCTACTCCTGGGGGACCAGTTTCACCCCTCTGGCCAATGCCAGCATCTCCCTTCTCTCCTTTCTCCCCTCTGTCACCTGTTGGAGAAAATAAAATACATTTTAATTACAGCATTAAGACTTTCACTGTGTTGGGTTCACCGGCAGCTGGTGCGGACAGCAGAGGTGTCGGACAGTGAGGACGAAAGGGAACCAGTCAGGGATTCTGGCGAGGACTTGGACGAGGGTCCTGCATCTGATGCAGGGATGGGGCCAGGACCTTCTGAGAGTGGGGTGCTGCCTTTGGAGCTTTCAGAGCCTGGCAGCAATAAAGCAAAGGACCCCGAGGAGCCTGTTCCCAGTGCATCTGTCCGCAGAGCTGTTAGAAGGCGAGAGCAGTTGAAGCAGAAGGGGCAACTCAGGAGTAAGGCTGGGAAGTGATTGGCTCTCGCACAAGGGATAAAAGTCAGTCCTCAATGACAAAAAGCTTTGCAGGAAGCAAAGCAGTTCAGTAATCACCGAGTCCTTCGTGAAGCTCTATACTCTGGTTGTTGTTTTTTTTCTGGGTTTTTGGGTTGGTTTATGTTAGCCTTAATTGGATTTCTGTTTCTTGGCAGCATTCTACAGCACTGAAAAGCATGCTCATCTGGAGGAACTTTGTCTAATTATTTTGGCTGGGAATGCAAGTAATTCCCAGCAATACATTTAAAAAGGATTTACTTTTAAATTCAGTTTGTGTACTCTTTATCCAGAAAGAGGCACTACTGAGTTTTAAAGAAGGTTTATTGAATGGAGAAATTCAGCCTCTCACATTTTTCTCATGCAGAGTTACAGAATATGTAAAATATGGGGATTTCAAATAATAGAACAAACTTCACTCGTAAATGTAAAATCTTAGTTATTGTACACTACATTTCACATTGCAAAAACTGTCCATAGTCCTTGAAAGATCTAAATCAGAAGGAAAATTTGGTTCTAAAGATGCTTTCCAACTAAGGAGCTACTCACCTTTTGGTCCCATGGGTCCCAATGGACCTTCTGAACCTGGTTGTCCAGGTCTGCCAGGTTCTCCTGGAGGGCCAACTCTACCTGGAAGGCCTTCCTTTCCAGGTGATCCAGGAGGCCCTGGTCTTCCTTGAGGTGCTTTGACCTGGGAAGGCTGTAGCTGACTTATGAGGTAGGGGAGTCTAGCTGTAGGGGAAAAAAATACACAACGAGTCAGTATAAATGCTTCAAAATGTGTTGGATTTGGTACTTAATGCATTATGATGTAAAATTGTTATCCAAGTACTCATAGTGGGAGTAAATTTAGTAGTTAATCGGTGGAACAACTTGCCTTCAGAAGTTGTGAATGCTCCAACACTGGAAGGTTTTAAAAAGATGTTGGATAACCATTTGTCTGAAGTGGTGTAGGGTTTCCTGCCTAAGCAGGGGGTTGGACTAGAAGACCTCCAAGGTCCCTTCCAACTCTGTTATTCTATTCTATTTTAATTCACAATCTACTTGTTGGTAAGCTAGAAAAATGTGGGATAGACAGCATCACCACCAGAGGGATTTATAAGATGTCCATGGAACTCTATTACCTTCTCACCAAAGTAGTGCCTATTTATTTGCCTGCATTTGCATATCTCATTGTGTGGCACTTGGGTCTCAAACCTGGGCTGTCATAAGCTTAGCATCTTTAACCACTGAGCCATTATGTTCCTTCTATCTATTGAGTGTAGCCTGCGTAACCTGATCAAGATTTATTGAACGCAAAGGGAGAAAGCGATGGCAAAGGATGATAAGGTTAGTTAGATGAACACGAATTTGGGCAAATTCTGGGAGACAGTAGAAGACAGTTGGGCCTGGCATACTTTGATCTACTGGGTTGTGAAGTCTTGGCCAAATTTAGTGGGCGAACAAATAAAAGATTTGGACTCGAATGGATCTCACAGTGTCATCTCTGGGCCTGATATCAAAATAAAACTCAATTAAAGTCCAGACTAAAACAATTTAAGAATTAGAAGCATGAGAAAAGTGATGCATCTTTTCAGCTGTTCCAAATGTTAAGAAAATTCAGCCCAATCCCAAGGTAAGTCCCAAGCAATTCAAAACATGTCATAGTTGTGGAACAATACAAGAGAAGGTCTCCTTCCATATGCGAGACCTGTGACAATAGGGCATTATCTAAAGAACACAGTAGAACCTTGGTGTAAATATCTTCATAAATGTTTAATTTTCTCCTCAAATAACTTCTTCAATCATTCCTCTTCTTCTATACTCTTCCACAATTCATTGCAGCAACTGTGGTGGAATGAAACTCTCTCTTTCTCTCTCTCTTCCTCCCTCTCTCCATCTTTCTCTCTCTCTCTCTCTGTTTATCTCTCTCTTTCTATTTCTCTCTTTTTCTCTCCCTCTCTCTTTCTTTCTGTTTCTCTCTCTCACTCTCTCTCTCCCACTCCCTCCCTTCCTCTGTTATCATCTATATTATATATATATCCTTCCCTCCCTTCATCCCTTTCTCTCTGATTTTCTTTCATCCCAGAACTAGTTTCTTCCTTCAACAACTGCTTTGAAATCAGAGCAAGGTTTGGTCTTTGGGGGATAGGGGCACTTTTTATTTCCCCAGTTTTTAAACAAAAGAAGTTGCAAAGTTGTGTGCAGAAGGAGCAATGTGCAAAGGTTTTGCTTACAAGCTCACAGAGATATCCTTAGGGGTAGTTGTGACACCCTTAGGAGCAATCTTCAGAGCAGATAACAGCTGGGCTAGAAGCACACAGCCTGCCTTATAAAAATGTTCAAAAGAGAACAACAACAACAAGAAGAAAAGCCTACAACACTATGAAGTAATAAATAACAATGCACCTTTATATTATGTGCCTCTTCTACCGACTGAAGACATTTTTATCTTTCTTGGGAAATTACTTTGAAAAATGCTCTAGCTTGCAGAATATTTTTAGCGGCTCCCACATAACATTGTTAATTTTTTTTTTCTTTCATGCATATTTTACTATTTTATGATATTTGTTATTTACCACTCTATAATCTACTGAAGAAAGGACAGCATACAAATCTTCTCCTTAACGTGGAATTCAGAAGCTATAGAAAAGGAATGGGTGTATGTATGTGTTGGAAGTTAAAACCTACCTTCTCTCCTAGGAAAATGAAATATTTTAGGATATACTAAAAAGGCAGAATATTTCCCCTAAAAAGAGTAGAAACTCAGAAGCAGAAGCTCACCTCAGAAGTAGAAGCTCACCCCCCCCCCCCTTTGTTAATGGGTGGGCCATTAAGGCCTGGGCCAGAATATTTTACATCACAAAGATCTCCAGGTAGAGCTGTAGGAATTGCCCAGAGCCCTTTCATTACATCATCATCCTGCAAGGCTCAACCAAGCCTGGGACTCAGCACAGTCTACATATAGCCCCATGGGAGTCTGTCAACCAATCAGAATACAAGCTCAAATTTAAAACCCAGCAGAAGGCATAAAACCCAGGCACTTTCAGCCCTTCCGTTCTTTTTTCCTTCACCTTGAAGCATGTGATCATCTTTCCTTCTTTGGAGCTCCAAACCATGTGGTCCTGTCCACCATTAAACCATCTTTCCAAACAGCCTCCATGTTTCTAGTGTCTTTTTCCCCACTTGGAACTGAACCCAGAAGGATAGTTTTTCCAACATATGTTAGAAACAGTCATCCCCAGAAACCCAAATGAATGAACTTGGCAATGTTGTAGAGAGCAATTAGATTCCAGATAAAAATTGACGAGAACAAAATTAAAAGCAATGCTCTTGATAGTGTCTACTATCACGGATCCAACAGAGAAGAATATGCTTCTCAAAAGCAAAGTACTAATCAGAATAGAGCTGGAAGGGACCTTGGAGGTCTTCTAGTCCAACCCCCTGCTCAGTAATACCATTTACCAATACCATTTCAGAAAAGTGGCTGTCTAAGTCTCCTCTTAAAAGCCTCCAGTGATGAAGCATCCACAACTTCTGTGAGCAAGCAGTTTCACTGATTAATTGTGCTAACTGTTAAGAAATTTCTCCTTAGTTCAATTAGGCCCGTTACTCAAAACCATGATAGGTTGATTCTCTCCTTAATTAGTTTTCATCCATTGTTTCGTATCTTACCTCCCGGTGCTTTGGAGAATAATTTGACCCCGCTCTTCTTTGTGGCAGCCTCTCAACACTGGAATACTGCTATCATGTCATTCCTAGTCCTTAGACAAATCTAATTCGTGCAACCAAATCAAAGAGGCATGAAAGAATAATGATGGGGAATCTTAATTATATTGATACTTGTTTGGAAACTGTTTTCCAAACAAGTATCAATATAATTGGTTTCTTCCTGAAAAAGGAGAACAAAACAGATGGGGAGGGGGTTTCTTTAAAAATAGAGCTAGAAAGTTTTAAAAAAAGCCAATGTAGCATGCAAAAAAAGGCTTAAAAAATTTTAGCTACAAAAAAAGACAGATATAGGAGGTGAAAAGTCAACAAGAAAAGTATTGACAAGCAAGAATTTTAAAATTCCTGAGAAGCTCAGTTTTATACAGTATTTGAAGGGTGCTAAAGGGGCTTATTATCTTATCTACTATCTATATGTTTGCTAGAAGTTGAAAACAATACGATGGAATCAAAAGGATTTTGTTTATTTATTTATCAAATTTATACATTACTTTTGCAATGACATTAGATGCTTTACGAATAAACATATATAAAATCCACATAAAAAAGAGAGAAAGTTAGAGACAAAATTAAAAAGCATAGCACCATTTAGATGTACGGTGTAAAAGAAAAGTAGAAAAGTCCTTCCTTCCTTCCTTCCTTCCTTCCTTCCTTCCTTCCTTCCTTCCTTCCTTCCTTCCTTCCTTCCTTCCATCATTCATTCATTTATTCATTCATTCGTTCATTCCCCTTCTGATCCTCTCTAACATGTTGGAATGATATATAATATAAGTCCTTACCATCATATAATACAAGTCCTTACCGTCAAGTTGTTTCCCTAACTCTTCTTGGATGAGTCTTCGTAATGTTTCTGTTGATGGAGGATCCCCCTAGGAGACAAAAAAGATGCCTTAAGACACTAGAGCTTAAAATACTGATACTTATGAATGAGTTTAACTCCCTTTCTTAAGCAGATAAGACAATGCATTCATTCTTTCTAAAGCTAAAATGTGTAATACAGTAGTATTTAAAAAAAAAGACTTTAGGAGGCACATTCTAGCATTTTTAAAGACTTCATAGGGCCTTTGGTCACAAAACTTTGTAAGATTAGGAGTAACTATTGTGTAATAATTCTAAATGGTTCCAATTTTAATACAGGAAAGGGTTGGGCATACTATATCTACAAGAAGAGGTTTGAATCATTCATGAAGGAAGCGTGAGCTTATTCCTATATATTACTCTATCTTAATAGCATGTACTGTAAATGCTATAATAGATCCATTTGGTGATGGCAATGGTGGTTTTGAAGGCATTTTAGGATGCTGAAGAAAACCTGAAACCCAAAATTCATTTCTTCCAGAAGCTGTTCTTCAAACTGGTCCCTTCACAGGAATTCCAAATACTTTAGAAAATTCTTCATGGGGCCCTCAACAATATAGGACAAATAGGCTGAAAAACAGCTTCTATCCCAGGGCAGTAGCTCTTTGGAATTCTACTCTATAGTGCAGTGTTGATGTGGTGTTGGGGGCTTCCGGCTCAATGAGTGGAGTGTGAAGGATGTGTGTTTGTGTTCATTTTCATGGTCATAATGTGCACTGAAGATGGTGTTTGATTTCGTTGTACGAGTTGCAATGACAATAAAGTAAAGTAATTGATAACAATGAATGGTTCATGTTGAAATAGACATAAAGATAAAGACAATTATCCAGCAATAGTTTTTTTAAAATATTCAGCTGCATTTTTATACGTGATGAGTTAAAAAAAAAATACAGCTGATAAGATGCATTCAGAAGCATCTGCATCCAGACATGATTTCAACAAAAATGCAATCAGGTCAGAGTTTGCATCATAACCTCACCACATATTCTGTCATTTGGTTTCCTTGGGCCTCCCAGTGACAGATATTATGGGGTAGTCTGCCCAAAGCACACTTCCCTCTAAACTCACTCTAGGCCCAGGAAATCCAGGTTGGCCTGGAGGACCAGGAGGTCCAACTTGTCCTGATTCTCCTGATGGTCCTGAGGGACCCATTAATCCCGTGTGTCCTTTGCGGCCAGGAACTCCTGGATCACCTGGTGGTCCCTTCACTCCTGCTGGCCCTTTTTCACCTTTAGTTCCAGGATCTCCCTGATGGAGGAAAAAAAAAAAGGATAGATTGGATTGGGTTAAACAAAAAAAATCTGATTTATTTATTTGATTGGCTGAGTGATTGATTGATTTTGCCACCTATCTCACTTCGAGGTGGTCTTCCTCCTCCTCCTCCTCCTCCTCACATTTTCCTGCAAGTTCAGGGCCCATTTTTTTTTCTTCAGATCATCTATTCGTTGCTAGGGGATTTACTGACCAGCTTCTTACCTGAACCTAGCATCATGGGCTGAGAGACAGAGACTGACCCAAAGTTACCGATTGGCTTCCATGCCCTAGATGGGACTAGAACTCACAGTGTCCTGGTTTCTAGCCTAGTGCTTTAACCACTAGACCAGGGGTGTCAAACTTTATTTCACTGAGGCCACATCAGGGTTGAGTTTGATCTCAGGGGGCTGGAGTGGGCGTGGCCAGCTCAAAGTCACTCATGTTGGAGGTACCTGTAGTGGCCAAGTGCTAAGGCAGAACTTCCCTCAGACCCACCCTCACTCTCATTATAATCTCCTTCCAACCTTCTTACCTCCCTCCCTCCCTTTTCTTTTTCCTTCCCTCATTCTCCTTTCTTCTTCCCCTCTTTCTTTATTCTTTCCTTCGTTGCTCTCTTCCCATCTTTGCTTCTTTTTGTTTCTTCTTTCCCTTTCTCCTTTCATGTCCCTTCTTCAGGGGTAGGATTCAAATTCTACCAATTCTGTGGGCATGGCTAGGTGGGCATGGCCATGTGACTGGGTGGGCCTGGCTTTTTCTTTTTTCACTAACCCCCACCAATTCTGTTTTTTTTTTTTTTGCCTCCTGGGCGAAGCAGTAAGACAGGGAATCCCAGCACAGCTGATTGTCAGAACAGCTGATCATTGAGAGGTGATCTACCAGTTCGGCCGAACAGTAGCATTTTTTACTACCGGTTTGTCCGAACGGGGCCAAACTGGTAGAATACCACCACTGCCCTTCTTGCATGCTCAAATGCAAAAGGGGAAACATTTCTCCTTTTGTTTTGTTTTTAGTTTGTTTTGCTAGCCCTCTGCCAGTGGAAACAGTGCTTGGGAGGGCTGTGCGAGGCCCTCCCGAGTTCCATTTTTGTTGGCGGAGATCACCAGGGCCAATCTTATGCTGTTTCCAAGGTGGCCTCAAGGGCCAGATCTAAGCACCCCAAGTTTGACACCCCTGCACTAGACCAAACCTAGCTCTGGAATTAAGCAAAAATAAATGTGATAACTCTTCAGCAGAGATCCATTATAAATGCTGTATGGATAGACCAGTCCCTACTACTTTAGGTGTGCGCGTGGGAAATCAGATAACAGAGTCACTCATCTCCCACAGAGCTCAAACTTTTTAAAATGCCCTCTCTGGGTGAACAAAGTGCTTCATCCATTGCAATCAGGAGATGAGGCTATCAATTTAAAGTCAGAGAGATGAGAATCCTGGAAATTATGAAATTGTCGCTGGGGTGATGATGAACTGAATGAAACTGATTCGGAAATATGTCAAGTAGCAAGAATTTGTTTATCTATGAATGAGTACAATGTGATTGCATGTCACCTGCTTTGAAGTGTCACAGAAAGCTGACATTGACATCTGTCAGCTTGGATTTGAAATTTTGGGATATGAATGAAGCTCTCATACTTACCCTCTCTCCTTTTTGTCCGTGTTCTCCTGGATTCCCTGAGGTGCCCTGAAAAGAGAGGATGGGGTCCAAAAACCAGTGATGAAGCTAATTCTTTGTGTGTATGTGTCTCATCTCTCTTTCAGGTACTAATGTGGAAGGGAAAATTAATTATATTGCATGAATTACAATGGCGTTTGTAGCAGCAAGCAGAATTTTGGCTGGAATTTCTAGCACGTATATACTATTGAAAGAGCAATGTCTACGCTGGCTTGGGCATGTCGTGAGGATGGCCAATGGGCGGATTCCAAAATATCTTCTGTATGGAGAATTAGTGCAGGGAAAGCGCCCTAGAGGGAGACCGCAGCGGCAATATAAGGACATCTACAAGGGGGAGCTAAGGGCCTTGGGAATGGACATCAACAGCTGGGAAACCTTGATCTCTGATTGTTCACATTGGAGGCTAAAGACACAGCATGGCCTTCTCCAATTTGAAGAAGAGACACTCATTCAGTAGGCTGGGGCAAAGTCCAGCAAGATCTGAGGACTGGACAGGGGACAGAGGGTATCTGTCCTCAGTGTGGAAAGGATTGCCACCCTTGAATTGGCCTTTTTAACCACGCTAGATATTGTTTTAGGACCTCTTTTCAAAGCACGATACCATTGTCTCTTGAGACTGAAGGATGCCAATTCATACATGAATTATAATGGCATTTGTAATAGCAAGCAGATTTTATTTTTTTAAGGGTGTTTGCAGTTTGCAGTCATTCTTAGTAGAACTAATAAGTCAGCATTTTTGTGCGAGGAATGTAACAAAATACTTACCTCTGTCCCTGGGGACCCCTTTTCACCTGGTTCTCCCTACGGAAAAGAAAGATAAACCAGATTATGCTGCATAGTAAATCATCTACAACAGTGTTTCTCAACCTTTGTAACTTTAATTTGTCAGCTTCAACATCCAGAATTCACATGTCTTATAGCAGCCAAGGCTGAGGAAAAACTGGATTTCAGGTTGGTTTTATAAGGGGGTCTAAACATGTACAAATATTGCATATGACAAATTATATGAAAAGCGGGAAATCAAAAACTTAATAGGTTTTTTTATTCAGTTTTTTTTCTTTTTTACTTTTTGGAATTTTTTCTAAACTTGCTTTGTTCATCTATTTTTTTTTTAATTGACATGTATTTGTAAATACATACATATACACACAGACATACACACAAAGATGCAGAAATACAGACACATATATGTATATGAAGAAAAATACTGTACAATGGAGATTTTAACTTTAAGTGATTAATTAATTCATTCATTCATATTTCACATTTCTTAACCGCCTATCTTTTTTGGAGATTTAGCTTCATTAAATAGCAAATAAATATAAATATATTCCCCTTTCCAACAGAAAGGAAAGGCCAACCTTGTCTTGGGTTAGGAAGTAAGTAGGGCTAGAACTGTTTAGGAGAACATCAAGGTATCCCAAGGTAGATGAAAAATCAAAGAAATATCGTGGAAGGTAGCAATGGTTAACTCCTTCAGCACCATTATGAAGGAAGCTATAAAAATATTCTTGTAGAGGCATCTGGAGTTAAACCCAACTCAGATTCCTCTTTGCCTTACCTTAATGAGGACTTCCTAATTATTCTACATTTTTATTTTAACATTAGCATGATTGTCATCAATTTGCTACTCACAGGAAGACCGCGTGGCCCAATGAAACCAGGAACACCTGGGCTGCCAATTTCACCTTTGTTTCCCTTGGAGCCCTTGGGATGAAAAAAAGAAGATGTAAGGGCTAAAAAGTAGTCTGATCACTCTCAGTGCAAAAGAATATGATGTTCAGTGTCAGGAGCCATGTTCTTTCACAACTGATTTGCCAGAAGCAATCAAAGTGGTAAAGTTTGCATATTACCTCAGTGACTGTAAAGCATGCTACAAACCTATTTATTAGTTGTTTATTAAATTTATAGGTCCTATTACTTGCATAAGAGATGCTGATGATGTCCCCTCAGCAAAACTTTGAAGAAGCTTATTAATTTTAGATAGTTCTTTGGGACACCTGTGCAAAAATGTGGAGTCTCTTGGTTCTTGTGACCACTTGATGTGGACAAATCAATACATCAGACTCTCTTCTCCTTTAAGGAGAACTCTCATCTAGGACAGGTATGGATATTCTGCAACTTTCAAGCTTCTACATCCACAAACTGGCCCTCAAATCAATAATCAAAAATAGTGAAGTTATTTTGAGATTATATTACAAATGCATATGTCAACTACTCCCAAATAACTCGGGCAGACTTGCTACAATATTGATATTAAAAGCATCTAGACCAATGGTGGCTAGCCTTCTTGGGCTCCTGCGCTGAAAATTGCATGCGTGCTTGCGCACACATGCTCACATACCAGCACCCAGAAGGCAATGCGCATGTCCCCCATGCCCCCTGCGCATGTGTGTGCAATCCCCCCACCCCCTTACCTGCACTGTGCATGCGCATGCCTCCCAGCTGATTTTCGGCCCGTTTGAGGCCTTTTTCAGCCCCCTAGAGGCTTAAGGGAAGCCTCTGCAGCCTTTGGAGGCCGAAAAATGGGCCCATTTTGTCACTTCTGGTATTTCTGGAAATATAGGAAGTTATGAAATGGGCCTGTTTTTCGGCCTCCAAAGATTATAGAGGCTTCACTTCAGCCTCTGAAAGGCTGAAAAAGACCTCAAACAGGTAAAAGGCCTCAAACAGGAGGTGCACACATGTGCAGTGAGGTAAGTTTGGCTGGGGCTCGCGTGCCTGCACAAATGGCTCTGTGTGCCACCTGTGGCATGCCTGCCTTAGGTTCACCATCACGGATCTTTTAGACCAGTGGTAGTCAACCTGGTCCCTACCGCCCACCAGTGGGAGTTCCAACTTTCATGATGGGTGGTAGGGGTTTTGTCCTCTATAAATCACCATTACTGTGGAACCAGTGGGCAGTTAGAGAAAATTTTACTACTAACAGAAATAAAAAAGTGGGCGGTAGGTATAAAAAGGTTGACTACCCCTGTTCTAGACTATAGTATAGTTTTTAAATCTCAAAATGACTTAAAAAGATACATTTTAAGCCCTGGGATGAAAGGGTAGGAGAGCAGGTAAGATTGAGCTTCAATAGCAGTTCCTTTATAATATATGAAAAATTCAACATTTTTGCAACCAGATGTGATTATCTATATGAGAAGAGATATTCTTGCAAATAGTTTGTACCAAATAAATGTTAGCCTTAGCACATCAAAAAGAGCACTTTGATTTGGCCTTGGAAAGCAACCAGGAACTGCTATACTTATCTTCACACATCAATAAGATTATAGACATCTTAAGCATGCTCTTTTTTGGAGTTTTGACAAGGGCAATTTGATTCCAATAAGAATCTGTCCAATTTTATCACAGTGTCTTGACCTCTAACTCCCCATAAATCCCCCAAGAATTCTTTCACATTTCTTGCCATGGATGAATTCTGGGATTATTCTGGTCTATTTCCTATCCACTTAATATTTTAGTCCGATCTCTTGCTCATTTCAGATGAACCCCAATTAAATACGCTCGAAGGATGGCTGTCAAGCTTGTTGTTTGAACTGCTCTTATTTTAAAATCCATTATTACAGTATATATCTTGCTTTCCAGAAAAATGGCATAGAAGAGGGCTATCTTCTATGACAACTGAAGAACACTAACTTCTGGAGCTTTTATCAATGTGCAACTAAAATCAAGGCCTGCTATTCTTAAGATAGTAGCTACTCCTACCACCTTGTTATATACAACTACCATGTTTCCCCCAAAATAAGACCCTGTCTTGTATTATTTGCCACCAAAAAAGGCACCAGGTCTTATTTTGGGAGGATGTCATCCTAACCTCACTTGCGTGCATCACTCCCGGCCTCCTTTTCACTGTCAGAGGCCTTCAGGAACTTCTTCTTGCAACCGGAAAAGCTTTCCTAAAGGTCTCTCAGGCAATAACAGAGCTCCAGATTAATCCAGAGCTTTATTATCAGCTACAGAGGCCTTCAGGAAAGCCTTGCCAGCCTTACTAGCTACAGAAGAAATGGGCTCGCAAGGCAGGTGTTGAGGTGTGAGAGGCCTGGCTACAACTGTCCAAAGGTAAGTAGTAGGTCAACACCACCACCCCCATCCCCACATTAGCTTAATTTTTACCCATGCACTCTGGAGTGGGTGGGATCTTAATTAGGGCTTATTTTGGGGGGTAGGGCTTATATTAGGCACATGTGTAAAAATCAAGCCAGGACTTATTTTCAGGGTAGGTTATATTTTCGGGAAAACGGGGTATCTGCCAGGATGGGACAACTGATGTCTTGCATTTTATCATGCAAATGACACAAATAATACATGGCTAACTATGCCGATTACAAAATGACATCATGGTGCATAATGGCCTCAGTGTAACTGCTATGCCAAAGGTGCTTTTTCAAAAGACAACTGGACTTTCTTGTTTTTCCTTGAAGACATTTTGCTTCTTATCCAAGAGGCTTCTTCAGTTCTGACTCTTGAGTTCTGACGGAAGCTTTTTAGATGAGAAGTGAAATGTCTTCAAGAAAAAACAAAGGAAGTCCAATTGCCTTTTGAAAAAGCAAGCTTTGGGATAACCATGACGTGGATGACTCAGAATCTCAATAGACATATACCTGCTGTTCCCAAGCTGTTGTGAGCTCATGCTTGTGATGAAGATGGTAAATACAGTACTTACTGGGTTACCTGCAGGACCAGGTTCCCCGGGTGCACCTGGAGGTCCAGTCTTGCCCTAAAGAAAGGCGGACAACAATCAATCTCAAAATATATAAAGAACTCCAATGAATGGAACCAAAGTCCTAAGACCAGAAACTCCTTGTCTGGATAATTTATTTTGTCCCACTACAATTTACTCCAAGGTTAAGAGAGAAACTGCTCTGTCGGCCTTTGGATGTCAAGCAACAGCCATCTGGTTTAATTTGGTGACCAGCCACAAAATAACACAAAACTTACATAAGACATTCAAGATTGATTGTTTATAAGTAACAAAAGACCTTTTTGTTGCTTCTCTTAAAAGTCATACTGTTCAGCAACATCCAAATCCATCATATTTTAAATAATTTTCAATATCTACCAAAGGAAAGGAAAGAAAGTCTTTGCTCTATGCAATCAACATTAATTAATACCAACCAAAGAAAAAAATTCCCTTCACAACATCTTCCCTATGATACAGCGTACCATCTATACATAGATTATCCTGAACACTGGGATACTGCAAGGTGTCTCCTAGAATCAGAACAACTCATTAAATAGGCAAAGTAATTTACTGCTATTCCTCTAAGTCCTCGGGGGCCTTCTGGTCCTGCAGGTCCTGGATCTCCCTGAAATAGAAGAGAGAAACATATCATACATCATAGCCTCATTGAAAAAATACCATACATCATAGCCAAAGTTATCTGAGAACTCACGACTTATTCCTGATCTCAGACAGCCAATGCTATCTGTCTTACGATGGCCATAGATCAGAGGTGGTATTCAGCAGCTTCTGACCAGTTCTGGAGAACTGGTAGTGGAAATTTTGAGTAGTTGGGAGAACTGGCAAATACCACCTCTGACTAGCCCCACCCCCATCTATTCTATGCCTCCTGAGTCCCAGCTGTTCGGCTGGGTCTCCTTTAGTTGCCTTGCACAGGAGCTGGAAAGCAGGTTAGTGGGGTGGGGAGGGAATGGGGATTTTCCAGTAACCTTTCCCTGCTATGCCCATCAAGCCACACCACGCCCACCAAGCCATGCCCACAGAGCCGGTAGTAAAAATGTTGAATCCCACCACCGAGGCAGGCATCTTACAACATAGAATCATGGGCCTGGGACCACAGAGGTCTTCCTGCTGTTTTTGAAAACCTCCAGTGATGAAGTTCCTACAACTCTGGGAGGCAAATTATTCCCATGGATTAATTGTCAGATCATTTCTCCTTATTTCTAGGTTGGATGTCTCTTTAACAAGTTTCCACCCATTACTTTTTGTTCTGCCTCTGGTGCTTCGAAGAATAAGTCAATCCCCTCTTTTCTATGATAGCCTAAGGATTGGAAAACAACTATCATGCCCCCCCTACAATCCTTCTCTTCCCTTCCTTAGTCTTTACCTCTGGAGGCCATTTCAGGAACAACTCTCATCATTTCTCATCACTCCTTATCACCCATCTCCTCCCACTTGTGACTGTATGACTGTAACTTTGTCGCTTGTATCCTTATGATTTATACTGACTGTTTCCTAGTATGATTTGATTGCTTATTGTACCCTATGACTATCATTAAGTGTCATACCTTATGATTCTTGACAAATTTATCTTTTCTTTTATGTACACTGAGAGCATTTGCACCAAGACAAATTCCTTGTGTGTCCAATCACACTTGGCCAATAAAGAATTCTATCTATCTATCTTAACAGTGCTTATTTGTGATTAAATTGTAACGTTAAAACAGGGGGGTGAGCTATGGAGTCGATGGGAGTCAGGATACAAATTTAATAAAATAAATCAGGCTGAGAGAATAGGACGATTGTCAGATGATGGACGTTTAGAAGAAAATGTAAGAAATATTGTTACTATTACTACTACTTTTAATCATCTTTGAAGTTGACATAGAGCTTTTATTGTGCTTAGCACTTACATCTTTTCCTGATAACCCCTCCCGGCCCGGAGTTCCAGGTTGACCCGGTTCTCCCTGTAGTAAAGAAAAAGGATGGAAGAAAGAAAAACAAAATTTAGACTACAGTTAATCCTCCCCTTTGAAAATTCTACGTGCTCTATCATGTAACTTAAAGTATGTCAGGGCTACTACATCCTTTTTTGTCTTCTTCTTTACTTCCTCTTTTACTGCTTTAGGTGTCGAGGTAGACACAAAGTTCTGGCTCTTCTGGAGGCCTCAACTATTGTTAACTGATGTTGCTGAGTGTGTCTTTGATGTTGTCTCCCCATCTTCTTCTGGTTGTGCCTCATGTTCTTTGGGCTTCTCCTCTTTTTGTATATGTCTTGTATGGTATGGAATCCCATGACATTCTCTCCGGGTGATCAAACCACTTTATTTGCTGTTTTTATATGAAGTTTAAGATTGGTTCGTTGCCAGTTCTTTCTTTTATGATCTCATGTCTGATTTTATGTCTTCTGGTCACTCCAGCAGCTTCCATCAAACATCTCATTTCCATGGTGATTAACTTTTATTTATGCTTCATTGTTTGGCACTGGTAACATAGGGCAGGGGTGAAATGCTTTTGAGATGCTCACGCTACATCCTTTTCCACAGCAAAATTCCGTATCAGCTTTCAGCAAGGAAGATGGTTTATTATTATTTACATGGTCTCAATTTCTACATTTTCTTCTTCAGAAATCCAGTGGATTGTGTTTTCTCTGCCTCAAAGATATAAAGGGCAACATTGACCTCCCAAAAAATGCATTTTGCACCCCAATTATTCTTGTGCATAGCCATATTACCAATGGTGGTATTCTACCAGTTTGGACTGGTTTGGGCAAACCAGTAGTCCCGGTGAGCATTTGGCCCTGACCACCTGCCCCTGCTCTTTCCTGTGCTTTATTTCCTGGTTTTTTTAACACAGCTGATTCACGCAGCAGGGCATTTTGCCACGCCTCAGCTGTTTTAGTCATTGGGGCTGCAGTAGAAGGTAAGCGATTGAGTTGAAAATAACCTTTTTAAAATGTAGAGCACATGCACAGAGCGCGTGTTTGGTGCACACTCACTCACCAAACCGCTTGTTACATCAGTTGAATCACACCACTGCATATTACTTACTCTCATGCCAGGACTTCCTGCATCTCCCCTTGGACCCTTAAAACCCTGAAACAAGGAAATGAAATGTGTAAATGTTCTCCCTCCAAAACTGACCCCTGAAAATGGTTCTTTAACTTCCTCCCAGCCTTGGACTTAATCTCCGTTCCCACATTCCTTTTCTCTTTATATCTCACTATCTCATTTCCTTGAGATGGTGTCTACTTTGCTTCAAAGTTTAAAGGCAGAGCCTGACACAACACGGAATATAACAGACACATACATACACGCACACAGCATGAGTTCCATGGTGAAACAATATTTGGGCAATATTATGGAGCAATACTGGGTCCAATACAAGATGTTGGTTGCCACCTTCAAAGCTCTACATCGCGGGTTTTCAAACTTGACAGCTTTAAGACTTGTGGACTTCAACTCCCATAATTTCTCCTCCAGTCATGTTAGCTCAGGAGTTGTGGGAGTTGAAGTCCACAAGTCTTAAACTTGCCAAGTTTGAAGACCCTTGCTCTACATGGCTTGGGATCAGGTTATTTGAATGACTGTCTTTCCCCAACCACTTCTACCCAACCTGACCTGAGAGACGAAACAGGAAATGTTACAGGCCCCCTCTCTTTAAAAACTCCATCTGGTGGCATGAAGAAAAAGGGTCATCTTTGTGGTGGCTCCTTCCCTGTGGAACATCATCCCCATGGAGATAAGATTGGCCTCCACTTGGACATTCTTTCTGTAGGCCCTGAAAGCCTGGTTTTACCAACAGGCCTCGGGTCCCAGGGTGGGATGGAGTCCATCAAGTGGTTCATTTGATTGTTACTGGAGAAGGGGAGGAGAGTTGTTTTGTGTGTGTGTTGAAATTTTATCTTTCTAAGCTGCCCAGAGTCACTGAGAGTGAAACTGTACTCAGCCACAGAGTGATTTCCCTGGGAGGGAAAACAAGTCAACATTTTCCCCTAACTGCTACCAGACAGTGCTGGAAAACTCTGAATAGGACCCATACCTTACATAGTTAGGCTTGGCCAAGACTCTGTGTTTAAATGGGGTAGAGTATCCTCTCCTGAATGTGACTGTGGTGTTCCTTGTCAGACAATGGATCATATAGTGACCAGCTATAGCCATTTGAGAGTGTATGCAGGAGGAAAAGCAGATTTTGTCCAATTAGCAAATACTGTGCTTAATTGGATAAATTTTCATGGGTGCAGGTATGCAGGTCTTGGCGTGTTCAGGTCTTTTCCCATGTAAGGTTGAGTGCATCTTGGCAACATTTCGATGAGGTCCCACTCGCCATCTTCAGGCTGGTGCTTTCGGCTTTGTGCTTGTGCGAGCAAAGCGTGATCGGAGCTGCCGTCTCTCTATATATGCTGGTGGGGAGGTTGGCTGTGTTGTCATTTCTTGATTGGTTGATGGAGTTGATGTTTGCAGATTGGCTGGCTTTTTCGTAAGAACATGTGTGGCTGAGGTATTGGCTGTGTGTCTATCAGCCTCCTGTGTTGTAATCTCAACAATATGTAGGGCACAGCAATATAACTCAGAAGGTCATCACACAGCCCATGACCCAGGTCATTAGGACCCAGGAGATTACAGCACAAGACCCAGGATGTCAAAACAACAGAACTCAGAAGGTCATTGCATAGCCCATTACCCAGGTTGTTACAACACAGGAAGCTGATAGATACACCAGCCTGAAGATAGCAAGTGGGACCTTGTCAAAACATTGCCAAGATGCTCTCAACCTTACACAGGAAAAGACCCGAACATGCCAAGACCTGTGTGTGTGTGTGTGTGTGTGTGTGTGTGTGTGTGTGTGTGTGTAGATTTTCAGTCATCCAGGTCATGGTTGTCCCAAAGGTGCTTTTTTCAAGAGGCAACTGGACTTTCTTTGTTTTCCTTTGAAAACATTTCACTTCTCATCCAAGAAGCTTCTTTAACTCTTGCAGACCGCTGATCATTTGCATCCTTTGAAAGGGTCATTGAGGACACAGATAACCCTCCAAGTGGCCTCAAGGGCTCTCTAAAAAGAATGCAAATGACCAGCTGTCTGCAAGGAGTATAAATCCTTCTGTTCCCCACCATCCAGTCAGAGCTGAAGAAGCTTCTTGGATGAGAAGTGAAAGGTCTTCAAAGGAAAACCAGACAGTCCCGTTGCCTCTTGAAAAAGCACCTTTGGGACAGATATAAAACATTTGTTTTATTTTATGAACTAACATATTTTGAAATGTAACTTACAACTCCATATAGAACTCCTTTTTTTGTTGTTTACACCTTACAAAACACATCTTCCTCTTATGTGTATCATATCACTATGTGTTCTTTTCAAACGTCATTACTGCGGCTATCCATGTATTTCATGATGTATGTTAAATAAATAAATGAAAAGGTTTGTTTATTCTGTCCCAGAACAGCTTGTAACGAGACTTACCGGTGGTCCTCTGCCACCCTCTTGGCCTGGTAGCCCCGGGTCTCCAGGCTTACCCTGAAATAAACAAAGCACATTTAGAATAGACTCTTGCACTGCTAAGGCATAAATCAAATTTTCATACTGCATTGGCATGGTTTACGCAATGCACAATGCCACACAAAAATGAACACCTTCTGATGGAGCTCTGGAATTCTTTTGACCAGCAGTAATGTAATACAGTTCTTATTTAGTTACTTATATCCTGCCTTTATTATTTTCACAAATAACTAAAGGTGGCAAACATATCCAACATACCTCTCCTCTTCCAGGTTTTTTCACAATAATGTTCTGACCTAGGCTTCCCTCAACAGCACAAAGCTGGGTCCTCATTCCAATAAACCCCTTTTATTTGATTTACAATTAATTTCTTCTCCAACAAAGTCCTGGCCAACAGTCTTTCACGATAGTTCCCAATTAAAACCTTTATCAGGCTTTGAGAAGGGCCAGGCCTATATCTTTCAGATGCTGCAATACTTGGCAAGCATGCCAAAATGAACTAATTGTCTCCTGCAAAGACCTACTCCCCTTTTGCTCCTCTTTTATTCCCTATGAGAGGGGCCATTTACCATCCACCTGTGGCCTTACTCCCAAGTCGGCCCTTGTTCCTTAGCTGTTCCCTTCTCCTGGCAGCTCTAAGCATACGCGCACTGGGAAGAGGCTCCAGCTGTTCTTCTGCCCCACTGATCTCTGACTCCAAAGGCAACTGTCAGATGACCCTGGCCCCATCTCTGCCTCTGACGCAGAGCACTCGTCAGAGCCTTCCCCAGACTCCAGGACTGGCCCATGTTCCCCCAAAACTTCCTCACTGTCTGAGTCTGCCACCAACTCTGCTGTCCGCTGATGGGCCACAACAAATAACAACCCTGTGAGGTGGGTTGGGCTGAGGGAGAGTAACTAGCCCAAGGTACCCAACTGAAAACAAATGAAGCCCTATCCACCCTAATTTTCCAGGATACATTAAATAGAAATTGATTCTTTTTTTAACAGTGATTTTCTATTAATTACATTTCTTAGTGCTTAATAAACATTGAGTTGTCTGGGTATTTATTTTGCTTAACAATTCAAATTTACATTCTTAATCCCCACCCCTTTTTTCCAACCAGTGGTAAAATAAATTCCATGTTTGATAATATTCTACATCTTCTTAATTTTCAATGTTAATCTATCCATTTCTGCACAATCTAGTATCTTACTATCTCTCCATCTCGCAGTATATCTTCACGTTTCCAATATTGTGCTAATATAATCCTCGCTGCTGTTAAGACATGTAATATTAAATACATACTTTCTTATTGATTTTTTCAGATATTATACCTAATAAAAAAAGTTCAGTTTTAAAATCTACATGTTCCCCTATCATTTTTTCTAGCCACCTGTGTATCTTTGTTCAGATTTTTTTTTGCTTTATAAGCAAGGAGGAGGAGGAGGAGAAGGAGAAGGAGAGGAAGAGGAAGAAGGAGAAGGAGAAGAAGGAGAAGAAGAAGGGGGAGAAGAAGAGGGAGAAGAAATTGATTCTAAAGTACTGAACATAAACTCATTTACAATAGTAAAATTAGGGGGTAACAAACAAGTCACTGCATTTTTAAAGGCCTGACTACAATAATATTTTTAAGATTTGAAGTCACAAGATTAATCCTATGATTGTGATCAAATAAACTTGTCAAGGCAAATTGAAAGAAAAAAACCAGGAATATTCTCCATCTTCCTGTGCAGCAGACTTTAATTAGCATGTTGACTTGGTTTGATCTATGTTCTCAACCATCGTTGGTCTCACTTATCCAGAGCTTTTCTTCTGAGACTAAATGCCATTTTAGTTCCCTCACTGAGTTCATAAATGTATGAAAGCATGGCATGAAAAGTGTATTTCCTCACGCAAATTTATGAATTTAAGAAGAGTCTGTGACATGGTTGCTAAAAAACAAAGAACAGTGATAAAGAATATTAGGTATATTTATTAACAACAAACTAGCTTCTTACTGGTTCCCCAGGTGATCCTGGTTTACCATCTTTGCCATCGTTTCCAGCTACACCCTAAAACAGAAGCCAAACAGATAAACAAGATTAGAAATGCAAAGACATTCTGCAATATTTTTAAGAGAGGGTTGTAAGAATAAAAGAAAAAAAAACTGACCAAATATTACTAATTTAGGAAAATTAGACAAAATTAGACTATACCCGGTAGCAAACCTGCCAACTCCATGCTGTGGAAAATCCACAAAGAAAAAAAAAAAAAGGTTGTATGAAAAGGAGCAAGTCAAAACAATTAACTAGGGTTCATTGCTTCAGCCAATCAAAAGCATAATGTACATGCACACCAAATAATACTTTGTTTCTCTAAAATGATGTTTTCTTTTCATAGATAAACACCTCAAACGTATCAGGCCATGCTTCTAACAGTGGAGCAAAAAGTGGTTAATGAGTTCATTAATGGAGCTTACTGCAGGTTAGTTCCATGCTAATATAATTATGGTGTTATCTATTCAGTCAGAATAACAGAGTTGGAATGGACCTTGGAGATCAACCTCTTGCTCAGGCACGAAAGCCGATACTATTTCAGACTAGTGGTTGTTCAATCTCTTCTTAAAAATTTCCAATGTTGAAGCATTCACAACTTCTAGAGGCAAGTTGTTCCACTGAGTAATTGTTCTAACAGTCAGGAAATTTCTCTGCCAAATATCTCTGCCCATGTCTGACACTTGGTGATTCTATGGGCCAGGTCTCTCTACAACTTCTGACCTTACATTACTTCTTTGACTTATTGTATGCTCTGGCTGTTGTCAGCTTTGATGATGTCCAGCCATCCTGCTCTTTGGTGACCTGGTTACCACTAATCCTTCCAAACACAATTGCTTTCTCCGGTGAATTCCCCCAGATGACACAGCCAAAATAAGTGAGATGCAGCCTTGTGATTTTGCCTCATGCTAACATGTAGCTTCGTATTCATACACCTGGCAAAAATCGATATTCTGCTTGACATGATACTTTTTGGTGTGTATACTCTTCCAGTTATGATTCTACATTTTACTAACTCAGCCTCTGAGGTTTTGCTTATATTCCTGTACTAAAATTCAAACCACCCACATGCTTCATAGTTCTATTAACTTTCACCACAAGGCACGTAATTAGCAAATCCATCATTATTAATCAAGATCCAGAGCCGCCACTAGATTCATGAGTGCAGAACGGATTCACTTAGAGAGGGTAGAGATTGAGGTTGGCCTAAGTCATCACACACACTTCAGTCTTTTTTTAAAAAAAATATAACTTCAAGATGTCTAAAGATGATAATATAGTTGAGGTCCTGGTTTCATGGTGAATATAATCTTCAGCCATTCCATACATGGGAGTACACCACTAATCTGAAATCAGTGTGTCCCCTATACCTCCTTAACTTCAGGGAGCTCTAAAAACCAAGTTGATTAACCATTGGTTCATTTGGTCCCTAAACACTGTAAGGCAGTTTTGTAGAATAGAAAGTTAGCAATGCCTCTCCCCACATTCCTAGAAGAATGAAATATTTTGGGAAATATTAAAAAGGCAGAATGTTATATTTCCCCTAAAAGAGAAATAAAAATTCGAAGGGAGACAGAAACTCGGAGTTCTAGCTCCCTGCCCCCAGCAGATATTTTGTGCCCATTAAGAAAGACTGGGCCAATCTATTTACAAGACAAAAGACCTTCAGCTCCAGGGTGATGGGGTTAAGATATGATCCTTCAGGACATAATAGGATTAACTCACTAAGACAGTGGTCCCCAATCACCGGGCCCCGGGCCGGTACCGGTCCATGGATCATTTAGTACCGAGCTGCCTATTTTGCTTGGGCGCCGCCATCTTGTTTAGATAGTGCTTGAGAAAGTGCTTCCGGGTGAGCTTGTCAGTCGTCGGTTGGAAAGCAGCGTTTGGGTGCTGAAGAAATCCTCATGCCTTAGTTTTGTCGAGTGGGGGGGGGGGGGGGGGTTCAAAAAAAGAGCCATCCCGATGGCGGTGGAATCTTGCATTACTCAGAAGGAGATTAAGAAATAGCCTAAAAAGCCCATCGACCGCGAGAAGGTACAAAGGAGGAGTTGAAGGTGGCGGGGAGAAGCGGGGGATGGCTGGCTGGCCGGTTGCTCGGCTAGCCTTGCCTTGGTCATGCATGCTGATGCCGGTACCGGTCCGTGGATCATTTTGTACTGGTCTGTGGTACAAAAATGGTTGGGGGCCACTGTACTAAGACACAGAGCTCACTACATTGCACAATCTCCTAAGGAAATTTCATCACCTTCAATCAAACATGGGAGCTCAGACAACTTACAGAGCCAGTTATAACCCCTACAACAGCCAATGGAACAAATGTTCTTGCACAGAAACAGGAAGCTCAAGGGCAAAGCCCAAGAGAATGTATAAAAGCCATCCACTCTCAACTCCATGTGGTCAGCTGCCCAGAGCCATAAACCCATGTGGTTCTGCTTCATCATTAAACCATCTTTCCAATCAGCCTCCAGCCTACATTTTGTCTCCAGTGCAGAGGTGATATTCAGCAGGTTCTGACCAGTTCTGGAGAACTGGTAGCAGAAATTTTGAGTAGTTCAGAGAACCGGCAAATACCACCTCTGAGTGGCCCTGTCCTCATCTATTCTCTGCCTTCTGAGTCCCAGCTGATCGGCTGGGACTTCTTTTGTTGCCTTGCATAGGAGAATGGGGCTGGAAAGCAGGTTAGTGGGGTGGGGAGGGAATGGGGATTTTGCAGTAACTTTTCCCTGCCACACCCACAGAACCAGTAGTAAAAAAAAAAAAAAACACGAATCCCACCACTGCTCCAGTGCCTTTCTCCCGGATTGGAACTGGCCCTGGATATTTCTTCCAACTGTAGGGTTCTTCCAGAGCTGTTTAGTAAACCTATTTCCCAGTGGTTGAAATGCTTGTTCCATCTCACCTCCTGAATCCTGGAATACCCTCTCCTTTCTGCAGCCCTGACACCATGCTTCCAACCTCCTTACTCCTTCTGATGGATGGCTTTGACCCTTGAATAGCCTTGTCCCAGTCAGAAAAGAAGATTGAGTGTGGGAGAGGATTGCAGGAAATTGAACACAGCAGTAAAGATATTCATGCACAATTTTAAAACAATTTTGAGTCAAAAATATGAATTCATCTTGGCTAATAATCTTGATTCTGGGTAGAACAGATCTTTGAGATGCTGAGAAGCAGGGCTGTAAAAAGATTTCCTAAGATTCTTTGACAGTGGAGATTTTGGACTTGTCAACAAGAAAAGCATTCTTTCTGTCACCATGGTATTGGATTACCTCAATACCTTAATAGATTTCCTTCTCCTTACCTGGAGAGACCTTTATCTCTACCTTTTCCTCCTCTTATATTTTTCCTTCCACAAATTGAGTTATCTTTCTTTCAGTGTATTGTATCACCAAGTTTAGAACAGGATAGTTAAAATCTGATTGCATGCATGCCAATTCAAATTAAGAGGGTTTTTTTTTTAATGCCAAACAATATGTCCACAGTCTACTATCTTAACATGCTATGTAACTACATGGGGGTGAGGATAAAAAGATATCAGGAACAAAACTTGTAGACATCCACACATGTTTCTCCTTTGCTCCGATATATGTATGTGGCACCTCCATTCCAGTTGAACTGTTTCAGGAGCCAATAGAAATATTGTTCATTTTCCAGATATCTTGCATCAATAGTTACAAATATTATTTACACTCACCATAAGTCCAGGCAATCCTGGGGGTCCCTGAGGTCCTGGGGGACCTTCTTTCCCCTATGAAACATGATACTGTGTTAGAATCTTTAAGATGCTTGGATGAGGAAGATCTGAAATCAAGTCCTTGCTCTACCAGGGGTCTTCAAACTTGACAATTTTAAGACTTGCGGACTTCAACTCCCAGAATTCCTTTTCCAGTCATGTTAGCTCAGGAATTCTGGGAGTTGAAGTCCACAAGTCTTAAACTTGCCAGGTTTGAAGACCCTTGCTCTGTACAGTCATTATACCAGGTCCTGTCTCTTCTCCAGGTCTGAAGAACTACTATGGCCTTCTGGGAATAAATATGCCATCTCCATCCATCCCTCTCCCATTTTTTCCAAATTGACCACCAAGATCAATTCAGAGAAGAAGAAAAAAAAGCAAAACTCCAGAATCTTAAGAAATCTCTTAGATCCTCAGTGAAAGCTGAACAGTTTTTAGAATTTCCCCTTTCACAGAACCCATCACTCATATATCTCCCAAAGATGTTTTCCCCCAAAAAAGAGACACCTAGACTTTCTTGATTTTTTTAAAATTAGAAAATAGCAATAGCACCTATATACAGTTTCATAGTGCTTTACAGTCCCCGCTAGGTGTCAGCATACTGCCCCCAATAATCTGGGTCCTCATTTTACTAACCTCAGAAGAATGGAAGGCTGAGTCAACCTTGAGCTGGTGAGAATTGAATTGCTGACAGTCAGCAGTATTAGCCTGCAATAGTGCATTCTATGCTGCTGTGGTTCGCTGGCAGCCGGTGTAGACGGCAGAGGTATCGGACAGTGAGGACGAAAGGGGACGGCGAGGACAAAAGGAGTCTGGTGAGGACTTGGATGAGGGTCCTGCATCTGATGCAGGGATGGGGCCAGGACCATCTGAGAGTGGGGTGCTGCCTACGGAGCCTTTGGAGTCTGGCAGCAGTGAGGCAGAGGACCCAGGGGAGCCTGTTCCCAGTGTGCAGGTGTGCAGAGCTGCTAGAAGGTGAGAGCAGCTGAAGCAGAAGGGGCAACTTGGGAGTAAGACTGGGAGGTGATTGCCCCTCCCATAAGGAATAAAAGTCAGCCCCCAATGACAAAGAGCTTTGCAGGAAACAAAGTAGTTCAATAATCTCCGAGTGCATCATGAAGATCTGTACTCTGGTCAGTATTTTTCTGGATTTTTGGGTTGGTTTATGTTAAGCTTTAATTGGACCGGTTTCTTGACAGCATTCTGCAGCACTGAAAAGCGTGGTTTCATCTGGAGGAACTGTGTCTAATTAGTTTTGGCTGGGAATGCAAGTAACTTCCAGCTTTGCATTAAAAAAAGGTTTTACTTTTACATTCAGTTTGTTTTTTGTTAAGTTTGATGAAGCCTGGGTCAGAACATGTGCCTCAACAGGCTCTTTCTAAATGAAGAAGAACTGAAGAAGCTGCTTGGATGAGATGTAAAACATTTTCAAAGAAAAAAAAACCAAGAAAATCCAACTGACTTTTGAAATCAACCTAGACCTGGATGATTGAGAATCTCAATCACTCATAAAATCAACTATCTAAGATATCTTCCAATGTTCGAAAAGTTATGAGATCCATTTTGTCCCCACAGAATATTCTTGAATATTTTGAATGAATGAACAGCAACTTGCCTTTTCTCCTGGAGGTCCTGGAGAGCCAATAGGCCCTGGGGAACCATCTGGTCCCTAAAAACAATGTGGAAAAAAATATATGTAGCAATTATTTGTCCTCCATATGATGGCCTTGAAGTTTTCATTTACCATCGTATCCCACCCTACAAAAACGCAGACGCACGACAACTGATAGTCGATGCAGAATTTGTCTCTCTGAAGAATCCTCTTTCTCATATGGCTTGGAGATAATTTTTGCACATTAATGCTGAAACTGTATTTGCTGTGGCAAATATTGTACCATGATAGATGGACAGCAGAGGTGGTATTCAGCCAGTTCTGACAGGTTCTGGAGAACCGGTAGAGGAAATTTTGAGTAGTTTGGAGAACCAGCAAATACCACCTCTGGTTGGCCTTGCCCCCATCTGTTTGCTGCCTTCTGAGTCCCAGATGATTGGAGTCTCACATGATTGGCTGGGTCTTCTTTGGCTGCCCTGCACAGGAGAACAGAGCTGGAAAGCAGGTTAGTGGGGTGGGGAGGGAATGTAGATTTTGCAGTAACCTTCCCCCGGGAGTGGGGAGGGTATGGGGATTTTACAGTATCCTTCCCCTGCCACACCCACCAAGTTGTGCCCACCCAGCCACGCCCACAGAACAAGCCACGCCCACAGAAACAGTAATAAAAAAAAATGAATACCACCACTGATGGACAGACTTTAATAAGATGAGGAGCATATATAAAGTACAGTCTATCCAGGTACAATATTTGCCGCAGCTCTGAGATCTATACAGACTCCTATAGTCCAGTATTATAGGGGAAAATATTGAGCTACTGAATTACCATCAAAGACAACATCATCAAAATTGCTGAATCATCATGAATAGCATCATCATCCAAATTATTATTGAAATCATCATCAATAATTGAATCATCCTCAATGACATCAACAACGTTATTGAATTATCATCAACAATAATCAAAATTATGGAATCATTATCCTCAAATCACCATAATCTCAAATAGATTTACAAGAACAATTTGCCTTCCATTCTAGTAGATAAAGATTAAAAATTAGCATGCAAAGGAAAATCTTACAGCTGGGCCTGGATTCCCAGGGGGACCCATGAAGCCAGGTATTCCAGGATGACCCTACAAAAGAATAATAATTATTTCATGTTATTATTTCTGCTGTATAGCTCACGTTCTCCTTAAGTGCTACGTGCAAACAACTTGCCACCCTCACTGTGTATCAAGCACTGCATATATCACCTAATTCTTGAGAACAGCTAACAAGCATTAATTTCAAGGTGAGAAAACGGTGGCTCATGTGGTTAGAACCAGGGTGGGATGCTGCCAGTATAACAACCGGTTCAGTGATCACACATGAACAGCAGTGTAAAAATCCTGACCTGCTATGTTACTTCAGGGGAGTAACACAGCTGAGGCGTGGCAATCCATTCTTCCATGCTGATCAGCTGGTACGATAAAGGTCTGTACAGCGCAAGGGCTGGCAGGCGGGGCCGCATAATTGTCGCCGTGAACCAGTTTGCTCCCAGTTGATATTTGGAGCTAGGGGTTTGCCTGAACTGGCCCGAATTGGCAGAGTCCCACCCCTGGTTAGAACACTGGGATGACAATTTGTAAGCTTGAATTCGAGACCCAAGAGCTGCTGTGTAACAGGATGAGCTCCCATCATTTGTTCTAGTTTGAAAGTGTGCAAACGTGAATAGAAAGATAGGTACCACTTCAGTGGGCACATTAACAGAGAGATGAAAGGAGCCAGTGCAGCCAAGCATCCTCCAGGCAATGGAGAAGTCATGGGGGCAATCTTTTCATCCTGGAAGTGTCTTGGTGCTTCCAACACAAATGGGATGGGATTTCCAAGATGGTTCCTAGAAAGGGAAGAATCTTTCTTCTACTTGTCTTTCTGGCTGCCATAAAAACAGGGGGAGGGAAAATTAATTGGGGATTGGCGGGGGGAAGAGTGGTGGAGGCTTGAGATGGTGAATTGTAAAACTTGGGGAAACTTTCTTATTTGCTTATTGCGCAGCTGTAGCTTCTTATCTAAGCAGGCCAAGGTCAACCATCCTAATGAGCCAGATGTCTGAAACACCACCTGAAGATGCCCCACTTGACATTATACACATCTCAGATTGGATGGCCGGTTTGAACTATTGTGGGTGGGAACATTGCCATAACTTTGTATATTTGATTTTCCTTTTCTCTATAACAATGGAGTCTAAGGTTTCCTTTCTCAGATTTTGAATGGAGCCTCAACTGACAGGGATTTTAGGTTGCACTGAACTTGCTTTGGGTTAAATTAGGTTCTGATTGGACTTCTGGCCTACTAGCCATAATATGCCAAAACTAATGGGAATTGTCTTTATCATCAGGATGGAAAGTTTCACGGAGCATGAGTATGATTAAGGCACACGAACAAGTCTATACCATGTTTTCCATGTTCTACACCGTGTTAAAAGTTAGCAAGTGTACAGCTTGCTAAAAAACATGAGTGGATTTTTTTTTTAACCAAACAACACCATAAGTATAAGTGGTACAACTGAAAAAAATGAATGGGGTTTGCACCTCTGCTTGACACATAAAAAACCCTGCTACTTTTCCTCTATGCCAAGGGAAATATAGCAAGAGTAAATTTTAAAAAAGGAAGATCACTTGATTTAATAGGCCAGACAAAGAGATTTGCAGAATTATAATTCACAAGGCACAAGAGTGAGCCAAATTTGAGTGCAATGCAGCTTTATGGCAATTAGATTTTGCTCTTCAGCGGTTTATTGAGGAAAGCATGAAAATTAGTGAAAGCTTGGGATAGCAATGAACGCTAGTGTAAAAAATAAGTGCCTACCCCTCCTAGAAGACTGAAATAGTTTGGGAAATATTAAAAAAGGCAGAATATTATATTTCCCAAAATGAGGAAGGGAGAAACATGCTTTTTTCAAAGGCAGAAAGCACCATTTCTTAAGAGCCCACAGCAGATCAGCACTTAAGAGATAAAGAGCTTATTGAAAGAAGACAAGTATCTAGATATCTCTATTCATAAGCAAATACCTTCACCCAAGAGCCAAAACAGGACAAAAGCCATTAAACCACAATAGAAATTTCCCAACATCTTTTCAGACAACAACAAGCCCCTTCATTACACCATCCCAGAGCAGTCCAAACTTCACCTGGGAGCTCAGATAAGCCAACAAACAAAAGGTTGACAAATTATCTCAGACAAACACCTAGGATTTGCATCTCATCTTTTGCCTATAGAGCCAGCTATGACCTCTACATGACCCATGCTTGGTGGTTCTGCTTTACTAATAAATGGACCTTCTTTTCAATCAGCCTCTAGACTCCATTCTGTTTCCAGTGCCTTTCTCCCAGCTTGGAACTGAACCAGATGGATATTTCTTCCCACGCTAGTTAATTATGGAACTGTTGTAAAAAATATGGTTGAAGACTGGTTGCTGAACATAATGAAAGAAGCATATGGTGGAAGAGAAGCTTGAATGAAAATTTATACAATGTTTAACGAATGTTTCAATATCGTGCAATGAGTAAATTAAGGAGGTATATGATGTCTTCTGTTTGTTTTTGGTACATTGATGAGCAAATATGTAAAATACTTGTGTGATTATTTCATCGGTACATTGGTGGATCCACGAATGCACGCATATGCAGAGAAGTGTGTGTTTAACACACTGGCTATTTGCATAGAATGTTAAATAGGTGGCTGTTTTAACATACAGTGATACAGATGAGAATTAAGTTACAAAGCAAATATATAAAAGCAAAGCTAACAGTTGCCCTGTCAAGAGAAGACTAAGAACGATATAACTGAAGGGAGTACATAGCATCTTCATAAAATGAAAAAGTTGTGTCATTTAAAAAAAAAAAGCAATGCAGGAAGCAGTTTTTGGGAATGGTATAAGCAAGGATGGTTTGGAAGAAGAGAAAAATAAGAAAAAGTCTTGATGTGAATTAGTTCTGGCTATATTTTCTTTTCTTATCAATATCCAATGTCTTTAATTGCTTTGGCTATTTTTTATGCTTTCTGCACTCTGCATTGTGCTACTGATGCCAAAAGGGAATAGAGTAATGGCTTTGCATACATTTCTGTATGCACACAATCTACTAGCCAAAATGTTTGGGTTCCAGGCTATAAACTAGCTTTTTGGCCCTATCACTATTTTCAGAAAAAAAATATGAATGACAAAGTATCTCATCTATATTCAACCTTAGCTGTGTCTATTATTTTCCCCAGAAAAATGCTTTCAACATAATACAGCATATATTGTTATTTTCCCCTTGAGAACATAGCAAGAACAGTTTCTGAATAAATAAATATTCTTATCTGTGTGTATCTGTATCAGGAATGTGTGTAAATAAAAATAAGCATCTGCAATACATTTGAATTATACTTGTACGCTTTTTTTTTCTTTCTTATTATTTTTGTTGTGTGTGAAGAACAAAAGTTGGAGGAATGACAAAGTGCCTCTCTGAAAGAGTCCTGAAACCTCCCTGAGGATCTAACATAGCTGGTTCAATTTAAGCAATGATTTCAACCCCATTGGACCAAAACCTTGCAATTTTAAACCTTCTTTATGAAAAACAACTTGAGATAGAAGAATATGGGAGCTACTAGAGGGAGAAAGAATCTCTCTCTGCTATTTTACCTCTCCTAATCCTAGCACAAAGCCAATGTTCACAGCATCTATTTGAGTATCTATCATCCATGGCTAAATCTGGACATCATGTGTAGGATATACATGGATGTTCCATTACTTCAACAACACAATACTGTTCGTTTGCACTGAATCTGATGACTGAATATGGTGACTTATGCGCTAGTAAAATTTTCCTGGCACTACTGCTAAAAAAATAGATTTTTGGGGGGTGGGGTGGGGGGGAGAGAAATAATTTGTCACACTTTCCTGCCCCCAGTCCTTGAGGGTGACAAAATACCAAATAGATTCCATGGAGCGACAAATATATTTCATGTATTGTTCTTCCTCTGAAGCATTCTATTTCTAATAGCTGACTTTCCAAGTTTATCTTAGACATCCTGCACAAACCAGTCTGAGTTAGTCCAGGACCAAAGATTTAGCAATTTGACATTTCAAATCTCACCAGGCTCAAGGAAGACTGGTTGCTGAACATAATGAAAGAAGCATACGGTGGAAGTGAAGATTGAATGAAAATTAATACAATGTTTAACTGATGTTTCAACATTGTGCAACGAGTAAATTAAGGAGGTATATAGCAATAGCACTTAGACTGATATACTACTTTATAGTGCTTTACAGCCCTCTCAAAGAAGTTTACAGAGTCAGCCTATTGCTCCCAACAATCTGGGTCCTCATTTTACCCACCTCGGAAGGATGGAAGGCCGAGTCAACCTTGAGCCTGGTGGGATTTGAACTGCCAAATTGTAGGCAGCTGGCTACAGTAGAAGTAGCTTGCAGTACTGCACTCTAACCACCACGCCGCAGAGGCTCATATATGATGTCCTCTTGGTTCCGAGATGGGTAAAATGAGGACCCAGATTGTTGGGGGCAATAGGCTGGCTCTGTGAACCACTTGGAAAGGGCTGTAATGCACTGTAAAGTGGTATATAAGTCTAAGTGCTATTGCTATTGTTTACACTTCCAAACTTTCGGACTCATGCTGGAGCCCATCATCAGGGAACACACACACACACACCCTCTATGTGTGCACTGGAGTGTTCTGTGCATAGTATTTATGTGGCGCCTGGCTGTGTGTGACTTTCAGTTATTAATTGGAGTGTTGGTGGGTGACTATTAAGTGATTGGTTGTTTCCTAGTGCTGCTCCACCCTCGGCTCCTAAGTACCTGGTAAGCTGGTAGTAAATTAGCAGTCCTATTGACTGACAAGGGGTTTGCTTCCCAGGCTTCAGTCGTTTCCTGTCTATTTTTGTACTGCTCAGCCAACAATCTTAGTAGCTGTCATGCCCTGTGGGAGTCTGAATCCAAGGAGGAAGATGAACAGCTGACAGGGAGTGTGAGTGTAGCTCTGTTGGCTGTGGAGGAAACTGGGGAAGGGCAAAGTCCAGCTGGGCAGAGCAGGGGAGAGGTAGAACAAGGGTGTGGGAGTTCAGAGGAAGACCCAGGCCCACTCCCTCTTCATCCTAGGGCACGCAGGGAGGAACGGAGAAGAGAACAATGTGGGTTGTGTGGGGGAGGAAAGGGTCCTGATTCCCTTCGTTAGCCACACCTGGGAAGAAAGTTTTAAAGTAATGCAGGCTGCGTGCGGCAGCTGCTGGAAGCAAACGTGAGTTTATCTTGTGTTGACTTTTCTTATCTGTGTTCCTGGTGTCTTTCCAACCATGTTGAGTTTTGCTGTGCCTTTACATGTGGAATTCTTGCTCCTACCCTGCCAAACTAATTACCTCATTTTGCCTGGACTTATAGTTACAGTTTTTGTTGACCATGTTTGGGACTTGATTCTCTGCAGCCAAAGGCTGTTTCTGGGAGAGTTTTTCTCCAGCCAGAAGGTAACCAGGACAGTGGGGTCAAAGTTGGAGCTAATAAAGGGGCTCTTATTGATTATCTGACTGTGGTTGCTTTTGTGCCATGCCCCAGGTCATCACAGTAGCTGTGAAATTGAATGTGTGTTCTTGTTCATTGCAATGTGAGGCTACCAATGAGTTTGGGTTTCTTCATCTAACTGTTCACTCATGTTCTTGCAATCTGATAGTTAGGTCCTTCCCCATCTGTCCTACAAAGTCACAGGCACAATCCATGCAGAGAATCTGGTGAATTACAGTAGAAGTTTCTCCTACCCCCAAGCGATCTTTGCAATGAATGATTTCATTGCTAGTTAGTATTAGACTGAGTTGCTTAAGGGTGATTTGAAATTCTACCATTTCAACCTCCCCAAGCGTAAGATGTGTTAATTTCAACTGGGGTGGAGAACTCTGGGAATTGAAGTTCACACATCTTAAAGTAGCTGAGACTGAGAAATCTGCTCTAGTCTACACCAAACTCCCTGCTTCTAAATAGCAACTCTGAGTTCCAGAGAAGTTCTAAATCTTCCTCTCTCTTGTGCGCTCACCCTGTGTAAACTTGTACGCAGAAGCTGCATTTGCTATACAAGCTGCTGCGATGCATCTTAAGTGTTTTCTCTATCACAGTCTGCAGCAGAGATGGATAAACAGCATACTTAATTGGGATGGCAGCTGCCAGGATCTCTTGTGGCAGAGGAAGCAAAGCAGATGTCTAGATTTGGAGGGTAATAGAAGCTCAGCCCAGGGATGGAACAAAATTTGCTTTCATTTTTTGGCTTGCTAATATTCTCAGGAGAAATATTAACAGCTATTCCATCACCATTTTTTCATATAAACATCAAGATTTATCTTCTCAGATAAACTGTGCTTCTTAATAATTTAATTCAAAAAAGTCAAATGTCATGGAATAATCTCCCTCCCTCCCTCTCTTTCACACACACACACACACACACACACACACACACACACACAAACACTTGATTACATATGCAAATCAGAGGTCTTATTAATAGTCAAGTCTTCATGTCAATTGTACAACCTATGACTTTCATTCTTATAGGAATCCATGATGACCTAAAGACTACAGGCATATGTATATTTTGGTAGAATAACCCAAAAGCAGGGCTTAGATCTTTCTTTGGCAAGTGAAGAAGTATCAAGTTAGAAATGTTGTTGTTACTGGTTGATTTCAATAAATCATGCTGATTCCTTATTTACACTCACCTGTTCACCTTTCAGGCCAGCTTCACCAGATGCCCCATCGCCTCCTTTAGGACCCTAATACATAAAAAAAAAGTCTAATAAGATGACTTGGTTTAATGGAAGATATTAGGAGCATATCCTCCCTTCTGGACCTAGTGGGTGATAGGCAGTTCTAGAAATAGCTTGATCTTATGATGCCATATAAGGCATGACAGGAGATAACCGGCACCTTGAAGTAGATTCAGAAGCCTGTTAGGATCCAGAATGGTTCACAGAATAGTGCTGTTATATGAGCACATTGAGAGATGCCTCAAACGGTCCACATTTTTTTGCATTCTGGACCAACTGCAGCTTCTGCACCAGCTGGAATTTCTGAATGCTTTTCAAAGGTAGCCTCATGTAGTTTGGGAGATATCTAAGGCACCAGATCTCCCAGTTCAGAATAGATGCATTTCTGCCCAAGATGAACCTGTGAAAAAGCCCCTTTACCCATCGCTGCCAATTGTTCTTCAAACAGAAGCCATAAATCCAAGAAGCTCCTCAGATTGCACAATCTGACTGGGGAAGTGCTGATTTCTGGGACTTGTGAGGAGTCATTACAGTTGGAGGGCGTCAGGTTAGGGGAGCCTGCTCTAACTGATGCATAGGGTTTGTGCTTCGTTAGAGTCACTGGAGAAGAGCCTAATGCTGGGAATGATTGAGGGCAATAGAAGAAGGGGACACAAAGAATGAGGTGGCTGGATGGAGTCACTGAAGCAGTCAGTGTGAGCTTAAATAGATTTCAGGGGATGGAAGAGGATAGGAAGGCCTGAAGGAACCTTGTCTATGGGGTCACGATGGGTCAGACACGACTTCATGACTAACAATAACAACAACAATGCTTAGTTTTACACAGTAGAGTTGTGGCTCAGAAAATTCCTTCTTAAAGATGTAAGATCTACCGGAAACTGATGTTCCACGGAAGCCCAACTCATTTTATTTTCCTCCAGCTTTGAAAGGAACAAGTATTTTGGAAAGCCAATTCTGTATATACAAGAAGTTGTCTTTCATGCTAACTTGAGCATGCCAATGGGGGTCAAATTCACCTAAACTGTTTCATGTATAACATCCTTGATCCTCTTTCTTTAAAAAGGAGTAGGAGACATGAACACATTCAGACTGTTAAATGCTAGAATAAATAAGAGTATTTTTGTAGGAAGCAAAATTTGATGGACCTTGAAATTGGAATGTTTTCTCTTCCGAATAGCTCTTTTCTCTTGGTAAAAAGAGCCTTCCCTTCCTATACCAGCTCCTTTCAAATATTTTTAGGGGAAGCAAGAGTCAAATAAGATAGAATGTACATTTTTACCTTGGGACCTTCCACTCCCGGAGGCCCAGGGGGACCTCTGAGTCCAGGTTCTCCCTGAAAGAAACACAGTTTACAAACAGATGTCTTCTAGCTTGATTGTTCATTCCTATAGCATCTTGGAAACATTTGGTATCCTAAAATGGTCTGTGCCTCTGGAAGGATAGGGTGACCTCATTTATCTGCTCAAGAGGAAGAGGGTACACGTTGAAGCAATGGGAAAGCATATGTGCCCTTTTCCTCTTACACAGATAAATGGGGTCACCCTGTCCTCCCACAGGCACAGACCATTTCAGGATACCATACGGTCTCCACTCATAGCTTTCTACACATTTCCCAGTTCCTTTTCTATAGTTGCCACCAAAGTGTTGCATTGTTTTAAACATGGAAGGAGATATCCCAAAGGTGTTTTTTTTTTTTTTTTCAAGAGGCAACTGGACTTTCTGGTTTTTCTTCGAAGATGTTTCGCTTCTCATCCAAGAAGCTTATTCAGAGCTGAAGAAGCTTCTTGGATAAGAAGCAAAATGTCTTCAAAGAAAATCCAGAAAATCCAGCTGCCTCTTGAAAAAAAGCACCTTTGGGACAACCATGACCTGGATGACAGAGAATCTCCATTAAAACATGCAGAAGGAGATAATACTTAGAATGGAGCAATCACATTAGATGATCAGTTTGATTAATTAATGTTACTTTTGAATCTGACTTAATATAGTTTGGTAAGAAAGGGCTGCCACAGATTTATCATGCCATTTGCTAGTGCAGATGAGACTCCTCTTCCTCTTGGGTTTGTTGCATGAGAATTTGATATTTTATTTATTTATATTAATTTATATCCACCTTTATTATTTTGATCTTCTTCTTCTTGTGCCATATCTGTCATCGGACATGGCAATCATGTTGGCGATCCTATTTTTTTATTATTTTGATAAGTAACATATTTCATAATCCTCTTTCCTTCTACTCTCTCCACAACAACTCCATGAGGTGGGTTGGGTTGAGAGATAATGACTGGCCCAGTCACTTAATTGGCTTTCATGGCTAAGATGAGTATAGAACTCACAGTCTCCTGGTGATTGGCCCAAAGTCACCCAACTGGCTTTCATGGCTAAGACGGGACTAGAAATCATTTCCAGCCTTGTGCCTTAACTACTTGACCGAACTGGCTCTGAGAAAGGGAAAAGCTTGTGATGTGGGAATCCTCAAGCAGTATCATGCACAGTTACTACCAAAAGAAAAGATCCCTATGGAGTCTCTCTCATTCAAAAACACGTTTTTTATTGTGCTGCATGATTCATTTTCCCAATCCTCAATGTGATGATGCTTGAAGTAGACCAACATATCAAACCTTTTAGGCAGGTTGAACATGGCCTGAGGACTTGAGACCCTGACCAAGGATGACTGCCTACTCAACAGTGAGCATGTAGTCAGAATTAGCCGTGGCCCTTAATTTTCACAAATGGCTTGCTCCAATTCTGACCCATGGAACATGCCTAGCCAAACCCTGAAATTTGGAGAACCCTGAAATTTGCAGAACACACTGCTGAATTTATGTTACTTTCTATTTTGAAGCATGGAGCATGCATACAGGTTAGCATGAGGAGAGGAATGAGCTTCACTTTTTTAAAAATCTCCTTTATGCAAATTGCAAAAAAGTAAACAAACAAATGCAGTTCCATGTTCCTGAATGTAACAGTCATTGCTGTATTGACCATCTACCCACATGATCATCCCCAAAAATATTTCAAAGGTGACTCTAAGTTTGTTTGTCCGTTTTTGATTGATTAGACTTATAGACCTGCCCAGTTTGCAGGAGTGGCTTTGGACCACTTACAGTTTGAGGAAAGATGAAGAGAAGAAAAATAAATGCAACGATAAATAAATATTTGAACAAAACAACCCAGGTTAATAGAATAATGAAAACAATAATAATAACAAAATGAAGTAGAATCAATATTAATTGATGCCTTGGGTGCAATCCCAACATTTCTCGAGCAACACTTGGACACTATCGGCATTGACAAATTAATCATCAGTCAGTTGCAAAAAGTAGTTTTACTTGAAACTGCTTACATCCTGGGATAATATCTGTAACACCATCAAACATCCACATCTGCCTATCCCAAGTGATTGGGAAGGACTCAATAGTTGGGGGGAAAATGCCAAATCCAGTCTGAACATCTGGCTGACTATACAACCAACATAATAGAAACAGCAAAAGCCAATTGATACGTGTCTCATTCAAGAGTAAATGGGTTTATTCCATACTTTAGCCTAATGTTTGGAGGAAGGAGCCTGATCTTTAGGGTCTTATAGAAGAACCGGTTTGATAATTTTGTGATAGATCTTGATATCACCTGAGCAGAATCTAGCAGTACTTCTAGCCTAAATGATTTATAACATCTCCTAGACATTGCTTGGAGATCCGTCATTAATGCATGCAGGTCACAGAGGCAACCCAATAAATCACTAATGTGAAGTGTTCAAAGAACAATTATTAATGCAAGAGAAATCTGCCAAATATCCTTGCAGAGGTAATCTCCTTCTCCCTCTGGCCTGTAGGAGTACACCTTCAAGGAAGGACAGCAAATCTGCAATTCAGTCTATTCTAATGAAAAGAAGGAGTAGAGGTAATATTTGAGGGGGGTCAAAGAAGAGGGGGGGTCAGTCTAGTCTTCAAAGCACCAGAAGGCAGGACAAGAAGCAACAGGTGGAAACTAATCAAGGAGAACGTCAACTTGGAAATAAGGAGATTAACTGTTCTAATTATTCAGAAATTTCTCCTTGCCTTCAGAAGTTGTGGTGCTCCATCAGTGGAGGTTTATAAGAAGAAAATAGACAGCCATTGTCTGAAATGGTGTAGGGTCTCCTATTTGAGCAATGGATTGCATTAAAAGGCCTCCAATAGAGTTGGTATTCAGTAGGCTCTGACCAGTTCTGGAGAACCAGCAGTGGAAATTTTGAGTAGTTCGGAGAACCAGCAATTCCCACCTCTGACTGGCCCCACCAACCCCATCTATTCTCTGCCTCCCGAGTCCCAGCTGATCAGCTGGGTCTTCTTTTGTTGCCCTGCACAGGAAAATGCAGGTTAATGGGGTGGGGAGGGAATGGGGATTTTGCAGTAACCTTGCCCTGCCACCCCCATCAAGCCACAGCCACAGAACCAGTACTAAATTTTTTTTGAATCCCACCCCTGGCCTCCAAGGTCCCTTTCAACTCTGTTATTCTGTCTCTTATGCTCCAAGTCTTTCTTACCCTTTTCCCAACTGGTCCATCATTCCCAGGTGGGCCTCGAAGTCCTTTATCACCCTTCTGTCCTGGGATTCCGGGGAGACCGGATGGTCCAGGGGGACAATCAGTGCAAACATCCTAAAGAGGAGAATCATAGTGTTACTGAAACAGCAGGCAATTCTTCTGAAATGCAAATCTATCTTGCTTCTACTGTATTGAATTATGAATTGAATGCAAATTAAAGAAACCTTTGTTTCTGTCTATACCTGCGTGTGTGTGTGCACTACACTTATAACCATGATTTACTGTTGTATACACCATATTCTTTAGAAAACTCTCCTGAGGTCTTCCTCATAGCTGAGTTAATGCTATCCATGAGACAGCACTGGCCCCCTCAGCAATTGTTCTTCTTCCAAATGTGTAATGGAAAATCAATATGTGTACCAGGATTGTGTGCTAATTGGGAAGTTGGAAAAAAAAAACCAACAAGAAGACAATGGCAATTTTTTTTTAATATATTGCTGCCTCCTACCACAAAAAATAGACAAGCGTGCTCATGATGTTTACCCAAAGTTAAGTTTGACTTGAAGAAGACTTTACTTAAGGGGAGAAGAACACAAAAATAAATAAATAAATGTACTTCCTTTACTCTCGTGAACATCTTCTGCATATCTACATTTTCTCCTGAGACTCTCCTTCTTATATTTTGTATGCATAGAATATTTTACCAGCATTTATAGACTTTGATAATTTACATTAATGCTTCCCAAGTATTAGGTCTTTGGAAGCCTTACCTTAACTAGTAATCTGATATCATCAGGGGAAAGCAGAGGAGAGGAACCCTAAGAAAAGAAAAATAAAACCACCTACATCATTTATGGACATCATTTCAGAACATCTGGTATCAAAGATAAAACATGAAAGGTTATCCACCCACTGACCAAATTTACAATTGATCAAGTCTTTTTGAAGGACCACCTTACTGAAGCACCTCTCACAAAGGAGGAGCAGCTCCGCTACCACTGATGTAAGTTGAAAGAGTAGTAGAGATGTCTACAACTTCATGGATGGGCAACTAATGTTCCTTTATGACCTGTGGACTTCAATCCCCATAGTTCCTGAGCATGTCCTGGTTCAGGAATTCTGAGTTGATGGTCATAGGTTGTAAAGGGACTGTGGTTTTCACGCTCTGTACAAATAGCATGGTTTTCTTCTCAGGTATTCATATCTTGTTCTATAGTAAAATGTATTTGCTTGGAACAAATTTGTTGGTTTCTGAATGAAACATGCCAATGAAAAGAAAAGGAAGAAAAGGAAAGAAAGATCCTACAGTGACCTACTGGTTTTCCTGGTGGTCCCCTTTCTCCTGGATTTCCTGGTAAACCCTGTAGAAGAGAAGGAGGAAAGAATAGTGAGTTCCTCTGAGCTTGATGGTTTTCTTTCAGCTTGTTTCATTACCAAACTACGTAACGTTATCAATGCAGGGATTCCACAGTTGAATCCTGAACTCATCCCTTCTATTGTTACTACATGCAGACCTCAAATGCTTCAAAAAGAATAGGAGTGTGCATCCGTACAATGCAATTAGACTCAGGTGCACATAGATATTAAGATGTTTTTCACAATAGTCCTAGTCATCTCAGTGACAAGAGTCAGGAAATTATGAGAACTTCCTAAAGTCTTCAGAAGAAAAGTTTCTTTTTGTCAATACGGGAATTGGATATGTCTAGTTTGATGAAAGGAAGGACTAGGGGTGACATGAGAGCTGTGTTCCAATATCTAAGGGGCTGCCATAAAAAAGCACCCGAAGGAAGAACAAGAAGCAATGGATGGAAACTAATCAAGGAGAGAAGCAACCTAGAACCTAAGGAGGAATTTCCTGACATGAGAACCATAAAGTGAAATGACTTGCCTCCAATGGTTGTGGGTGCTCCAACACTGGAGGTTTTTAAAGAAGAGATTGGACAATAATTTGTTTGAAATGTTTGGGGGTCTCCTGCTTGAGCAGAGGGTTGAACGAGAACAGGGATCGCTCATCTTTTGGACCTCAGGGACCACCCAACTCATTATTTTAAATCCCGTGGACCACTAATGTGAATTTTGACCAATGTGGCTTACTGACGTTGGTGGGAGGGAGAGCGAGAGAGCCAGAGGGAGAGGGAGGGAGGGAGGGAGGGAGAGAGATAGGGAGGGAGGGAAGGAGGGGGAGAGAGGGGGGGAGGGAGAGAGAGAGACAGGGCGGGATGGAGGGAGAGAGAGAGGGATGGGGAGAGAGAGAGAGAGAGATCTGATCTAACCTCGGAGGTCTGGTGATGTTCTCTCTCTTCCTTTCTCTCTCCTTCCCTCTCTCTCCCTCTCTCTCTCCCTCCATCCCTCTGCCCCTCTCTCTCCCTCCCTCCTTCTCTCCCTCTCTCCCTCTCTGTCTCTCTCCCCCTCCATCCCTCCCTCCTTCTCTCCCTCCCTCTCTCTCTC